TCTAGAACCATTTTCAGTCTCCAGGGTCTTAGTTTCGAGTCTCTAATGTGTCCCTTGACACATCTGGTATCAAGAACTAGCACTTCATCAGGAGGTGCAATTCCAGAGAGTGAGTGTGGAGGAAGAGGGAGGAGAACGCAAGTGAGGCGTTTCCATGGTGACCTCTGCTTCCCGCTGAGCCACGTGGGACACACGAACCGGTCAGCAGGTTCATGTGCTCAGCCCGTGAACCTCTCTGCATCTCGCTGAATCAAAACCAGGCCTGAAATTTCTGCCCATCGGTGGGTGAGAAGTGAGAAACTGGCGAGCTGGCCCTCTCCTGTCTCCTGCCTCCTGCCGCCCACTGGATAAGTGCAAGTCCAGCTCAGCAGTCCCACCAGGACAGCAGATACCACGGTGACCTTTCTTGGGCACCATCTGGGCCCCTGGGCCTGGGATCCCCCCTTTTTCCAGCGTAGATGAAAAGCAGTCCACAATCCCTCCTAAAGGGAGAAGAGGGCCAGGACCTTGGCCTTCATCTTCTGGTTTGAAGGACTCAGACGGGGTGTAGACAGGCCAGGCCGGAACTAGTCTGGCAGGGTGGACCCTACAGCCACCAGCGTTCCCATCAGGAATGACTTTCCATGTAGTCGGCATGTGGCATGCCAGCCCTTAACTTCACTCTAGAGGCCTTCAGCGGGGCAAGGAGCTTTGCCGGGTGGGCCACAGAGGTGAGGTTGACAGACTCAGGTCTCTTGGGGACTTCCTGGCCCCCCATCTTCCACCAGTTCCCTTTCTCCTAGTCGGCTCGTTAATCCCCCTTCACCATCACTTGCCCCCATCCACACGCTTTCTTTCCAAGAGTGCTTCCCTACTCCTGCCACGGGTACCTCGGTCGTTCTCCTAGATCTGCAGCCTCCCACGGGTACGGCTTGGCCAGCCATCATTTCCCTACTTAGCACCCTCTGTTGCCAAGCCACAGCCACGTGTTTGGGAGGTGGCAGGGCCTCCCTCTCTCTGCTCCCCTTCCCGATCTCAGGCAGAGATCTGGGATGACCATTCCACCCCGGCACTGCCTCTGGCCTGGAGGACCAAAGCCGAGGACGTCTGCCCAGTTGGAGGCCCCATCACATTAAGTCACTTGGCGTTTTCTGACTCCAGAAGGCATAGTCAGGGGTTCTTTCTGGATTCCCACGAGTTCCCTCAGGGAGCCCACGGCCTTGGTGGGGTGTCCTAGTTGATTTCAAGGTCTCAGGGGCTCCCCCAGTTGGAGGGGGGCGCTGTGCCAGACTTCCTTGAGCTCCTGCTCCGAGACACAGGTGGGAAGACGTGTCTGTCCAGACGGCCGACTCCAGGGCAGTGGTCCTGAACGGGCCCCGTCCCCTGCCCTCTGCTTTGCTCTGCAGCACCAGTGTTGGTTCTCCCTCCCAGCTTCCTGAGCGTCTGGGGTGCTGCTGACAGCCACTCCAGGGGGACCCCATCTCTTTACTGAGCGCCCACATAGATCCCCCCAATGCGTGGTCTCCTCCCTGCATCATGGGGCCTCAAAAGCCTCAGTACTACCATGGGGTGGGGGTCTCCTATTTCCACTTTCTCCTCCCTTGCAGCCCTTGATCTGCTGGGGCAGAGCTGGGAAGTGGGCCCACAGCAGCCCTCTCCTGCTGAGGATCTCTTTCACAATGGGACCGCCGTGTGCCCCAAGGCTGCTGCTGTCCACAGCTAAGACCCCTGGGCTCCTGCCTTGACAACTCAGCCAGGTGACCCACCCCCATCTCCAGAGGGGATGTTGGCCATCCCGAGAGAGTGGTCCAGCCAAACCCGTTGTCGCTTCCTCAGAGGTTTGGTCTGGGCACTAGTGGCGTGTTTTCTACCCCATGCACCAAGGAGAGGCAGGTGAGCAAAGACCAACCCAGCAGGTAACGCAGGGTGAGTCGCCACCCCAGTTTACATATGGGAAACTTGCAGGCAGAGGCTCAGCAGAAGGCGGGGGTCCTGCCATCCAGGAGAGGCACTGTGGGCGGCATGGCTGGGTGGACCAGTGGTGGGCGGGCGTCCACAGGCGGGGCGTGCACGCCAGCCATCCTCACCCCCGACTCCCCCACCATTGCAAGCCTCTCAGTATTTAAAAGGGGGTTAGGAGGGTGCGAAGAGCAGACTCATTGGAAAAGACCCTGATGCTGGGAAAGATTGAAGGTGGGAGGAGAAGGGGACGACAGGGGATGAGATGGTTGGATGGCATCACTGACTCAATGGACATGAGTTTGAGCAAGCTCCGGGAGATGGTGAAGGACAGGGAAGCCTGGTATGTTGCAGCCCATGAAGTCTAAAAGAGTCGGACACGACTGAGCAACTGAACTGAACTGAACTGTACTGGGAGGGTGCAGGGGCCTGGCAAGCTGCAGCACAGAGGGAGAATCAGGGCGGGGAGGACGTTCTGGGGACAAGAGGAACACTGGAGTTCGGACTTTGGCCGCCTGGTTCCCAGGCTCTGCAGTGCAGGCAGGGAGGGGATGGGATCGTTTTGCAAAGTCCGTCTCTCCCCCGGGACACAGGGCACAGCTCTGCAGGATTCCTTAGTGTGTCCTGACATCGAGGGAGTCTTTGTAAAGGGACCATGTAGCTCTGGACACACGCCCCTCAGAGATGAGAAGAGCACCGCACGCGGTGAGCACATGCTGGGTCGCAGCTCGCCTGTGGGGCGGGAGGCGTCCTGGGGTCCGGGCCCGCCGTGGAGGTGGCTCCACCGCAGCCTCCCGAAGGACCGCACACCCTGCAGGGGGGCCCTTCTTGGCCCCCAAAGCGTGCAGGGCTCCCCTTCCAGACACTGCCCTGGGATAGGCATGCTTGGGGGGCAGAGTGCCAGCTTCAGCACCAACCCCGGCAATGCTGGCTGAGCCCGCCTTGGGACACACACCTGACAAGCGTGTGTCAGGGCAAGAGACTCTGTCCCAGGGGCCCTGGTCCAGTCCACGGCCCCGAACACCAGCTGGAGGGCATGCCAACCAAGGAGAGACCCTCTGTCCTCCGAAGAAAGGGGCACCTCGGATATGGGGGGGTCACCGCAGACATGGGAGCCTTGTGGGCAAGCTGTCTTTCTAGGGCCTTTCCAGGACAGTGAGGGGTACCAGTAGTCCAGAAACTCTGTGAAGGGGGCTCAAGCTTCCAGACACCAGAAAACCTGACCCATACATCAGCCTTCAGTCTCGAGGCAAAAGGCTGACAGTCAGACTCAACCTCCCCACTGCCAGCTCCCTCCCCGTCACCTAGAGCACAACTTTCATCTCAGTTAAACCCTTGGGTTACCTGACCGGGAAGCTGGAAGTTTTCATCCTTTCTCACGTGACATGATAGCAAACAGTTTTTTGGCTTCTGTTAAGACCATGCCTTTTATTTGTGAAACGGATAATAACTGAATTTGATTAGGTACATGTTTAACCATCGGGTTCCTCTAGCAAAAAGAAGAAACTGACAACATGAAAAAGGTGGAGTCTTGGGTACTAAGTTTTTTTATTTGTTTAGGTTTTTTGTTTTAAGACACAATAATGAAGCAAGCAGGTCTATATGGAGTGCTGTATGGTAGAGACAAAGTTATTGTGGTTTGAATTATCTGCAGATCCACAAAAATAGATTAATTTGGGGGAGACATTTTAAAATAATAATAATTATCATGGGTTAAATGTCATTGTGTCAATGTATGATTTTAAAACACTCTCAGAGAAAATCCCCTGGCAGTCCACGATTAGGACTCCACTCTTCTAGGGCGGGGGGCCGTGGTTCAAGTCCTAGTTGGGGAACCAAGGTCTGTGTAGTATGGCCAACAAGGGAAAAGAAAACTCTCAGCAAACTATTACTATAATAATAGAGAATAATATTTACATTAAAGTAGAATAGTATTAATAGATAATAATTTCAGTCATACCCAACTCTTTGCGATCCTATAGACTATAGCCCACCAGGTTCCTTGTCCATGGGACTCTCCAGGTAAGAATACTGGAGTAGGTAGCCATTCCCTTCTCCAGGGGATCTTCACAACCCAGGGATCAAACCCAGGTCTCCTGCATTGCAGGCAGATTCTTTATCAGCTGAGCCACTAGGGGAGCCCAGTAATTATATTAATGACAATACAATAGAAGGACACTTTCTCTATATGACAAAAGACATCTACAAAAAACTAAACAACTGAGGCTCACATCATAATTCATGGAGAAATATTAAGCACCTTTTGTCCAGCTGGGAACTGGGCAAGTATGCCCACCATCACCACCTTTATTCTACTTTGTACAGAGGGCCTAACCTATGCCATCAGGACTGTGACACTGAGGATGTCACTTGCAAAGGGACAATGTAGACACAGAGGCCAGCACTCCAGGCCACGCAGCGCTGTGCAGACATTTTCAGTCCTTTTCAGAGTCTCTTCTCAGGGTGAAGAGAAGAAAGATGGAGGCTGCATCTGCAGTCTACGACTTCCTGGGGAGGACTGTGAACACACACATACACACACACGTGTGTTGTGTACACACAGCATAAACAAATGTGTCCCCAAAACAAAGGACGACCTTCCTTGCATCTGTATTTAGTTTAAAAACCAAAAGCCCTTCTCAATAGGTGGCCAGCACCTATTCTTCCCGGCTCCCAGACCACCGTGCAGCCAGAGAGAAGCGCCAGCCCGCTGGTCACTGTCCGGTTCGGGAAGCTTCCCAACCACAGGGGCAGGTGGGCCTTGCCTCACTCATGTCTTCAGACCCTGGACACAGCTGCCTATGAGCTCGGGTCCCACTTTGGGAGCTGGCTAAGGGTCTCCCAGACAGGAGCTGCCTCGGTGCCCAGTGGCTGGCACGGGGGAAGCTGGAGAGGGAGGTTCAGGGTCCGAGTTCTCGTCTCCAGGGTCTCTAAACCCAGGAAGGGGCTCTGCGAAGCCAGACGGGCTGACAGGGTCCCCTCCATCTGCTTAGAGAGGACATGAGAGCCCCTCCCCACGCACAGACCTCATCATTCTCTTCCCAGCTCATGCCTTAGCTCACCGGCTCACAAAGCACAGGATCCAGGACCAGAGAAGCCATGGCTAGCGCAGAGCTCGTCACGCAGTAGTTGCCCAGTAAACAGCTGGCTGACTGAGTGCAGGAGTGAGTGAGCGAGCCAGCAAGTGTCCTGGCAGGGACACCAAGGCCCAGAGGCCCGGGTGCAGAGGGGCCCTCCTGGCAGGGCCCAGGCTGAGTGGGCAGGGGTGAAGGGCTGAGCAGCTGGGAGGCAGGGAGAAGGCTGAGATGAGAGGCCAGCTCTTTCCACGGACAGCATTCCTCAGGCAGCTGGGACCCTGGCCGCCACCCCCAAACCCAGGTTTCCTTCTTGCTAGCTGCCTTCCCCAGGGCCAAGAGTCCTGTGCTAGAGGTGATGGCTAATCCAAGCACATTTCCAGGTCAGGATAGACTGACCAGGAGAGGATATCTTCTCCCCTCCTCCTCCAACCTGAAAGCACTAATGTGTGCACCTGAATGCGCACACACACACATGCTCACTAATCACCTTGGTTTGGGAAGTTACCACCCCGCAGCTGGCACTGGGGTGGATGCTTCCACCAGACCTATGCTGTTCTCCTGGAACTCGCAACCCATCTTATTTGAAACTGTCCCCAGACCTCCTTCATCACCCCTCCTACGTTGCAAACTCCTTATAAGCAGAGGCTCCAACGAGATGCATCTTTGCGCACCCCCCATACACAGGTGTCACCAAGAATTAGTGGAGTGAATGAACATTTCCAAGAACAAGAATAAAGACAGGAGTCATGAGACACTGAACATAGATTCAGTTCCAAAGAATTGTCAAGGTTCATAGTGTTTGATAATTCCTAAAATAATGGATTTCACTTTTTACCAGATTTACGGGTGGAAACTAAGATCATGGCATCCAGTCCCATCACTTCATGGCAAATAGATGGGGAAACAATGGAAACAGTGACAGACTTTATATTCTTGGGCTCCAAAATCTCTGCAGATGGTGACTGACAGGATGAAATTAAAAGACGCTTGCTCCTTGGAAGAAAAGCTATGACCAACCTAGACAGCATATTAAAATAGCAGAGACGTTACTTTGTGGACAAAAGTCTGTCTAGTCAAAGCTAATGGTTTTTCCAGTAGTCATATATGCATGTGAGAGTTGGACTATAAAGAAAGCTGAGCGCCAAAGAATTGATGCTTTTGAACTGTGGTATTGAAGAAGACTCTTGAGAGTCCCTTGGACTGCAAGGAGAGCCAACCAGTCCATCCTAAAGGAAATCAGTCCTGAATATTCATTGGAAGGACTGATGCTGAAGCTGAAACTCCAACAGTTTGGCCACCTGAAGTGAAGAACTGATTCATTTTTGAAAAGACCCTGATGCTGGGAAAGATTGAAGGCAGGAGGAGAAGGGGATGACAGAGGATGAGGTGGTTGGATGGCATCACTGACTCAATGGACATGAGTTTGAACAAGCTCTGGGAGTTGGTAATGGACAAGGAGACCTGGCGTGCTGCAGTCCATGGGGTCGCAAAGAGTCTGAGCGACTGAACAGACTGATGGGTGAAAATAGAAAAGGCTAAATTTAGATAGGAAATGTGACATTAGGCTGAATCCTGGATATGGAGCAAGACCAAAGAAAAGTTGAGCAGGAGGAGAATCTCTGTGTGATGTGAATGAGCTGTTTGTTTTCTCTCACTTCCAGAACAAAGGAGCTTATCCTTGACGTCAATGTAGGTGAAGAAACAAAAGGCTCTGGGTGTGTGCAAGGTGCAGCTGGGCCTGGATTTGCTTGGCATTTGTGTAGGTTTATTCAGGAGAGGGCAGGGAGTCGTAGTTGAGGTGTCAATATCAGACAAACAGAAGGAGGGGCCATTCTCAGCAAGGAGTGTGCAGCGCGCAGCTGGCCTGCCAGGACTTATGTGGGAAGGACTGTCCTGATGAACGTGGCGTTGCCTGGCTTTGCATCTGTGTCTAGGGAAGTGGCACACACCCTTTGCCAAGGGCAGGGGAAATCCTCAATGTGCGTTTGGCTTCTGGAACTAGCAGCTTAGTCTGCTTCGGGCCACCAGATCACGACTCTTCCTTCCTTACCACCCCTGATCTACCAGGAGCACCCAGGAAGAAGAATATACAAGTGGAGAGAGATTCCACAGGCCCCCTCTGCCCTTCCAATCCCAACCAACCTTGCTTCCCACGTCGGACCCTGCAATTTCAGAGCAGGGTGAGGCTAAGTTGCCTTGGAGCCTGCCTGTGTTTTGTCCCACCAGAAAACCTTAGCTCTCTACCTCGTCTGAGAGGAAGTTCTACTCTCCTGACACTTAAAAAAAAAATTTTTTTTTTGGCTGTGCCATGAAGCATGTGGGATCTTAGTTCCCGACCAGGCATAGAACTTGAGCCCCACGCATTGGAAGTCGGGAGTCCTAATCACCGGACCGCCAGGTAAGTCCCTCTCCTGACACTTTATAGACAGAAGGCTGGAGGCTTCTTCACAAACCCCAAACAGTGCTTATTGAAGAGTAAGTGGCTGCAGCCAAGGTGCTAAGAGTACAGGGCTCTCTCCCAGAGCCTGCTATGCGGGTCTTATGTCTTTGTGACTTCTGCCGTCGGAAAACCCTCCTTTTCCAAAAGCCACTCAAGTGCTGCCTCCTCCAGGGAACCTCTGCGCGAAACTCTTGCCCCGGTTAATTTCTGATCCACACCGCCCAGTTTAGTATTGGATTAAGTTCCCTTTTCATGAGATGGTCCTTTCTCCCGAATGACGCGACTGGGGGCAGGGACAACATCATTTATTTCCTTTGTTGTACATCCCCTTAGTAACAAGGACCCTATTTGCTGAACCAAAACTTGCGGCGCATAATCTGAAAATTATAAGAAATTTAAGAAAAATTATAAGAAAAAATAAGAAAAGGCCCCCTGGAAGCTACGTGTCCTGACAGATCTCGGCTAGTGTCGACCTCGGTTGCCTGGGAGGGCGTGCACCCTAAGCTCCAGCAGAGCCGCCCAGTCTGCAGCTAGCTATGAATGGATACGGAGTAAATGAATGAAAGGGAATGAATGAAGAGGTTTGCGGGGGGTGGGGGGACGTCTCTGGCCGTGGCTCAAGGTGACGGTCTGTCGGAGTGGGCTTCAGCGAGGATTCGGCTGCCCGGGGTGGGCCTGGCAGGGGTGCCCCAGAGGCCCTCCCCGACCCGCGCCCAGCCCGCCCCTCGCCCCGCAGTGGTACGCGCTACTCCGCGCTCCCCGGGCCCGCGGATGCCTTTCGTCTTGAATGGAAGGCGCCGAGGCCGGAAGTGGAAGGGACCACTCCAGAGGACGAGGCGGGGGGGGCCACGGGTCCGCCGCGTCTTCATTGAGGAACAGAATCGTGGAACATGGAGTTCCATGTGCGTCTTATGTAAAGAGAGCGACGGACGCCGTGGCCAATGGACGCACGGCACTCGCAGGCCCCGCCCCCCCAGTATGCAGATGAAGCGGCACCGCGGCCAATGGCGGGCGCCGGGGGCGGGCTCCGGGGGCGGGCACAGAGAGCGGTCACGTTTTCCACTATGTGACAGCTGCGAGTCAGCGGCGGCGGCAGCGGCGGCAGCGGGCTGCCTTGCGGGCTACGCGCTCCTTTCGGCGGCGGCGGCGGCGGGGTCGGCGGGCCGCGCGCGGACAGTCCATCGGACCGGTTAGGACGCGGCTCCGGTGAGTGCGCGCGGCGCGGCGGGCGTGGCCGGCCGGCCTGGGCGCAGACCGGCGTCTGGCCGCCTGGCTTTCTGGTTACGTAACCGCCGGCGGGACGGCCCCGGACCCTGCCTCGGGGGGCGGGTGGTGGCCTGGGGTCTCGGCGGGCTGGCTCCGGGCGACGGCAGAGGATCCTCTAGTCCACAGAGATGCGATCGGAGGGTCTGCTGGGCCATTTCACTCATCCTGAAACTGACCTGGGGGTGGGGGGGAGGGACCGTTATTCCCATTTTGCAGATCAAAAAACTGAGATCCAGAGAGGTCAGGCCCATGTCTGAGGTCACAGAGCTGCTGAGGGGCTGTACAGCGAGCTGTCCTTCTCTAGATGATTTTCTTTTAGGAACCCCTCCTCTTCTCCCCGTCTTGCCCCCATCCCCCAAGGGGGGAAGGCTGAGGAAGGCCAAGGCAACCAAGGGGCAGTGCCACAGCCTCTGGGAAGATGGAGGGCCCCTTGGGGAGCTGGCTTCCTGCTCTTGAGGACACAGAGCCAAGTCTCCAGCTTGGAAAAGGCCAGTGGTGGGCACTGGTCTAGGAGTCCTGGCTGGACAGCCCATGGGTCCCCTCGAGTGGGTGAGCAGAGGGACAAGACAGATGCTGGACCTGAGCACAGATGCTCATCCCCTTTGCCCACGCCGGACCCTGTGTTTATTCCCTCTCCTGAGTCCGGCAGAAGAAGGGGGAGGGTCCTGCTTTGTGTTACAGCCATCACATTATCCTTCTAGGCTGGACTTTGGCTGCCAAGTCCTGGACAGAAACCAGTGTGTGGGGGGAGGGCGGGGGGGGTGGCCTGCTTACCCCTCCAGGAAGGCCAGGGTAAGGGATGACAACTCAGTTGCCAGGGCTTCTGTAACCTACACAGAAGAAACCAGTTGGGAAAGCTGATTCATACTCACAGAGAAACAGAGCCAGAAGGTACCCTGGAAATCATCCAGGGTAACCCCTTAGCTTGACAGATGAGGAAACTGAGGTCCAGCTGTCTGCTGGGCACAAAGCATGGCTGGGCCAAGCCCAGGCTCAGGGTGCCTGCAGGGTTTTTCCATCGTCCTGAGGGTCTTCATCTGGGTCAGGATGAACTTCAGAAGTTCTTCGAAGGCCTGGGATTGGGTGTTGCTGAATCTTGAGTGAGCTGGAATTTGGAGGGGGACGGCCCTCAGGTCTCCCAAACATTAAGAACCCAGCTCCATGGCAGAAGCCCCTCCACAAATACCTCTCATCGCCCACATCCAATACAGCAGGGCCAGTGACTTCCTCTCTTGCTGCAAAAGGGAGTTGCCCGGCCCCTACCCCCAGCCAGGGTTTCTGGTCCTGGGCTGGTGTGGCTAAGGAGGGAACAAAGTTCTGAATCTGAAGGCTTTCCTTCGAAACTGAGTTTTAAATTCAAGGCTAATCACTTTTTGTCACAAAGAAAGTGATTTTTTTTCATGATGAAAAGTGATTAGTGGGTCAAGAAGATCCCCTGGAGAAGGAAAAGGCAACCCACTCCAGTATCCTTGCCTGGGAAATCCCACCGATAAAGGAGCCTGGAAGGCTACAGTCCATCAGGTCGCAAAAGAGTCCGACACGACTCAGCGACTTAACAACAAACAATCAGTTTTTGTAAGGCGTCTGAGTAAAATGAGGAAAGGGACTCCTGTTTCTTAAGTGGAAGCAACGTGATAGGGATGGTGCCGTGGGTGTCGGCAGTTACCTGTTGCTGTCGTCTCCCTGGCGCAGAACTGACACAGCCCGGGCTTTCTCTGGGGGCTGGGCTTTGGGGGGAGCTGGGGACTGTCGCCTGCCAGGCCCTGGGCTGCTGCTGGGTGACTCAGCAGCCCCCCACACCCCTGCCTCCAGGGCTCGTCTGTGCAGCAGGGCTCAGGGTGGGTGATCCCAGGTCTGTTTCCACCTCTAGCTTTTTTTTTTTCCATTCTTACTGGAGTATAGTTGCTTGGCAATGTGTTCATTTCTGCCCTACAGCAGAGTGGATCAGCTGTTGTTGCTGTGTACTCATGGAGTCGTGTCTGAGGCTACATATACATATATCCCCCCTTTCTCAGATTTCCATCCCCTCTAAGTCACCACGGAGCATTTTAGTAGCTTTCCCTGAGCTGTCCGGTAGGTTCTCTTTAGTCATCTAGAGACAACTCTATGTAGTGGCGTATGTACATCAGTCCCTCATCCCTAGCCTTTTGGGTTCTGCTCCTCTGCAGAAGGTTTCCACAGGAGACACAGTAGATGCAAGTTCCTGACTTGAGGGCACATGGTGTTACTCTGTGAGGCTTAGAAGGAAGCAGGGATAGTTCCTCTCGTTTGTACTACTTCTCACCCACACTGAACTTTCAGAAAAATAACTGGTGGGCACGCCTCTGTTTTTAAATGATGATGTAATAACTTCACGGGGCCTCAAGAAATCACAGACTCTGGCAGGTCCCTGAGTTGCTGGCGGGGCCGCTCAGCGTTCTGTCCAGAGAAAGAGCGCCACTGAGAACTACCGTATTCGGCAAAACTAAGTAGAAGTGCACGCCGACGACAGCTCTGCAGACACCCTGCAGAAGGCGGGCCCACCTGCCAACCCGCAGAGAACCGGAGAGGGGGCCCGGCCCCGACCTCTGAGCTCTCCGTAGGCACCTCTGCAACAAGTTGATTACTGTATTTGCAAGTCTAGAGCGGACCAGAAGCAAGTCAGTGAGCAGGCGAGCAGTGCAGGTCACGGGCAGGGCCAAGGCCCCTGTCTTATCAGAAGCGGGCAGTTCTGAAGATGGAGGCAGCTCCAGGCCGAGTGCTGGGCCCTCCCCAGCTCCTGAAGGCCTTGAGAGTCCTCGCCCCCTTCCTGAGAAGAATCGGAACAGCTGGGCTGGTCCTGGGCACCCAGACGCTGAAGCCATCGTTAAGCGGAAAAAGCAAGAGGCTTTCGCGTTGTTGTTTTAAATCTTGTGCTTCTTAAAGGCAGCGGAGATAAGACTGCCTGAGGGGTCTCCTCAAGGGGGCCACGCCTCTCCCCAGCTACCTTCTCTTCCATATTTGGACGGCTGCAGTCACATTTTCCTCAGTTACCAGCGGTTTCCATGGAGAGTGCCAGTGTTTATTCAGCAGGACAAACATTTTCTCCAGATTACAGCAGCCTGGCCTCGGGGAATTGGCTCCTGCCAGGAAGTAGCAACCGGGTTATAATATTTGGGGTTGTAAAATACAAGGGCTTGCAGAAACGAAGAACAGGCTGTGAGGTCCCTGCTACGTAAAGTTCAGAAACGGGGAATGACCAGGCTGTGAGAACTCAGGCTCGAGGGGCCTGGGGTGGACGTGGGGAGCAGGGCTGGGGATGGGGGCCACCACCAGGGGCCCCTGGGGGCCGGCGGCGTCCTGCCTCTGGGGCTGGGGGCTCGGTGTGTGGACACACAGCAAGGCGTCACCATCTGCAAGTGTCTTATCTCCCCTTTCAGCTCACGACGGTCTTCAGTGAGTGAGCCTGCCCTGATTTCTGGTCTCTGCCTTCTGCAGAGAAGGGCACGACCGCTCAGAGCAGGAGTGGTGAGCGCAGGCAGCGTTTGCCGTCCTGACAGTGCTGGTAGAGGGTGGCACTGGGGCTCAGGCTCTGTTTTCGTTCCCCGTTTCTGCTGTTTACTGTGGAAACTGTGAGTGTGCGTGCAAGCAGAGAGGACGGGGAATGACGGCCCCAGCCAGCGTCGGCGGGTTTCTGCTCTCCTCCGCCTCCCTGCTGGCTGCCTCCCTGTCCCAAGTGCCGCACAGCCAGCCCAGACGGTGATCTCACCGTGGACGGCACTTTCTAAGCGTTCCTCTGCCCTGGCCGGGCAGCCCCGGCTACTGAAGATGTGGTCAGGGGCCCGGGTCAAGGGTGTGAGCTCAGCTCTTTTCCTTCCGTCTGGCTGTTCCCTGGGGCAGCTCCCGCGTGTGGACGTCTCAAAAGTGGCCCTGGCGGGTCTCTCACAGCGGGCGGCCCCCTGCCTTCCCCTCAGACCCTCTGCAGCAAGACAGCCCCTTGCTCCCCCGGGCCCCTGGGCTCATGAGGGCCCCCCACCCCAGCACCACTGCTGCCCGGGTGGAAACACAGGCTTCCTGGGGCTTCCACGGAGCCCTGGCATGCTGGCGAGGGCGGGCGCTCCGTGGACGTTTGTGGAAAGCAGGAGGCAAAGTCTGCTTGACAGGCACGTTGGTTTTGCCAGCTTGGCAAAATGAGGTCAGTCAGAGCTGTCAGTGCTGAGCGACGCGTTTTCTGGAATAATGAAGCTCAGACGGCTGGTCTGTTGTCTCCAGTTTCTGCCATGCCGGCCCTACGCTCTCAGGGGCCAGGACCCATGAAAACCAGGGCTTCTCCAAGGAGCTGGGCGACAAGCCCTGGGCCCACAGTGTGCCGGGCCTCCTCCATGGGGCGGCTAGAGGCAGCACTCTTGACAATGAACGCTCTCCTTTTTAAAAAAAAAATTGTTAAACAATTTCCTCTAGTGATTGGCTGTGCTGTGCTGTGCGTAGTCGCTCAGTCGTGTTTGACTCTTCACAACCCCAGAGACCGTAGCCCACCAGGCTCCTCTGTCCATGGGATTCTCCAGGGAAGAACACTGGAGTGGGTTGCCATGCCCTCCTCCAGGGGATCTTCCCAACCCACAGATCAAACCTGGCAGGGACCAAAAAGCCAGCCCTTGCTGGAGGGTCGCTGCATCCTATACACAGAACCACTGTCCTTGAAGCCTCCGAGCAACCAGTGGGTGTTGGGCGCTGCTGAGGCCCACCTTACAGGTGGGGAAGCAGGACCCCAGGACGTGCGGGAGCTTGCCCAGGATCGCGGTCAGGAGGTGGAGGAGCCCGCCGAAGGCCCCACTGTCCAGGGTCTGCTCACTTAGCCCTTGGCTGCCACCCCCTCCCCTTCAGAATTTGCTCAGCAAAAGGGCCCCGTCCCACTGCTTATCTGGGGAGGGCTGTGGGGGAGACGGATAGTGTCCAGGGAGCCCTGGGAAATAAGCAAAGTGCAGAGGAGCCCCTAACAGGTGTCCCAGCCCCCACCTTGCTCTGCCCTGTAACCCTGCTGACATGTGAGTCAGACCTTGTTGCACAGAACCCTCCAGCACTTTCCATCTCACTCAGAAAGCAGCCACGACCTGGCTCTGACCTCACGTCAGCCACCTGCCTTCCACCTGGCCCTCTGCCCCAGATTCATCCATCTTCCTCAGACATGCCAGCCTCAGGACCTTTGAACTTGCCATCCCCCTAGCCCATCCTCTCAGTCTCTTCAGTCTGTCTTAGTTTCAGTTCAGTTCAGTCGCTCAGTCGTGTCTGACTCTTTGCAAACCCATGGACTGCAGCACGCCAGGCTTCCTTGTCCTTCACCAACTCCCGGAGCTTACTCAATCTCATGCCCATCGAGTCGGTGATGCCATGCAACCATCTCATCCTCTGTCGTCCCCTTCTCCTCCCACCCTCAATTTTTCCAACATCAGGGTCTTTTCCAATGAGTCAGCTCTTCGAATCAGGTGGCCAAAGTATTGGACTTTCAGCTTCAGCATCAGTCCTTCAATGAACACCCAGGACTGATCTCCTTTAGGATGGACTGGTTGGATCTCCTTGCAGTCCAAGGGACTCTCGAGTCTTCTCCAATACCACAGTTCAAAAGCATCAATTCTTTGGCGCTCAGCTTTCTTTATAGTCCAGCTTTCACATCTGTACATGACTACTGTCTCAGTTCGGGTTCTCTTAAAAGGAGCATGCAGGCTGAGGCTTTAAATGCTGGTTCTTTACTGGGAGGTGTAATCCCAGAGCAGCTGAGGTGAGGGAGTGGGGAGTGCAGAAGAGATGACTGTCACACACACACATGTGCATATACACACAGGATAACACTCTGCTTCACAGACCCCCAGCTGGCCACTCAGCCCCTTGGGGTCTCATTGAAAAAACTATCCAAAAAAAGATGAAGGAAGGATGCAGAGAAGAGGACAGTCTGTTCGAGGGAGGGATGGAGAGGCTGCACCGCCCCGGGGGCCGTGGTCCCAGCTTACCCAGGGGTGCACGCCGCCTCGGATCCAGCTGCCTCACCCGGCCCTTCGGCTGCAGCAGCGGGGAAAGCCGGGGCCCACCTCGTGGTGACCTCGGCGCTTCATCCAAGGTCACACGTGTCTGGCAGAGACTCCTCGGGTGTGGGCCCTGCAGTGACCAGGGAGAAGCGAGGCCTGCAGACTTGGGGGAGTGCGGCTGCAGGGCTCTGAGTGAGCACGACCCCGGGGCGCAAGTGCAAGGTCCCACGTCTCCTGTGTGTGGGCCTTTCCTGGCCCCCTTCCTGACTCATGCCCAGCCGCTCCCACGCCTGGAGCCCTGCCCTGCTTCTGTCTCAGCCTCCCTCCTCTGCCCTGCATGCCGTTCCCTCACTCACAGCCTGTTTTCCCGCACTAGAAAGTGAGTTCCACGGGGCAAGAAAGCTGTCTGTCCCATTCTCTGTGCTCGCCGGCCCCAGCGCTGTAGGCAGAGACAGGCCGGGATCAGCCCTGCAGAGCGCCACCTGTCCTCACAGTAGCTCCTGTTGTTCTGTGGCCGTCCGTTTATGCCCCAGGGTCTTCCCACAGCTGCGCGCCTGGCTTCCGTCTTTTTACTGGGGGACACTGTATCCCCACACCGTGTGCCAGGCCCTGGGCTACAGCTGGGAGGGACGCAAAGCTCCCACGCCCTGGCGATCTCGGTGACCTCGGGGGGGACAGGCCAGGCAGGGGACACTGAGCCAAAGGGGCTGGGAGAAGGCAGAGCTGCTGGTGCGGGCCGTCGGGCCAGCTGCCGGCCGAGTGCTGCAGCAGGCGCCAGGCCCCCCAGGTCGGAGCCCAGCCTGGCCTGGGGTGGGGGGAGGGCGGGTGGCTGCAGGGAGGTTCTGGGAGGCAGCCGAGGTCCTGCCGCGCTGGAGACCCCCATGCAGAGCAGGGCCATGCTCCACACCCCGGGCAGAGAGGAGCTCAGCTGCCCCGCATGGACCACAGCAGGGCCAGCTGAGGCCGGGCCCATCGGGTGGGCTGAGTGGACAGGATGCCAGTGGCTTCCTTGCCAGTGGTCCTTTCCGGGTCTTTCTTCCTACATACCCCACACTCACACGTCTGTGTGTGGGCTGAGCAGCTTCCCAGGTGTGAGGAGGGGCCAGGCTGTCAGCACAGCTGGATGTGCCCAGAGCCCCCACTCCAGGAAGACGTTGGTCCAGCACAGGAGCCCTCCTGTTGGCCAGCGCGGGATGCTGCTGGCGCTGCTGCCCCTTGGGAGCCTCGTCCTTGGCATGGCTCCTCGTGTCTCACGAGGCTGAGCGTCTTCCCAGGCCAGTGGCTCTTGCCTGGTGCTTCTCTGTGTGGAAACAGCCTGTTCTTAGTCTTCAGGCTCTCCCCAGATGTTCGCACCTTTCGTTGTTTATCACATTAGCTAGAACTTCCCTGAAGGTTGAAGACCGAGTGGTAGACGTGCTCATTTGTTCCTGACTTTCGCAGCAGAGAGCTGGCGATTGAGGTTCTCGTGATTCGGGACCAGTAAACAGCAGCCATCTAAAACCACAGTGAGATGCTCTAACAGCCTTCCTCTGTGGCCCTGGCATCTCCCCTCGGCGTGTAGACTTTCTCTTCTGAAGTTCTGATATTACAGCAGAGACGTCCAAGACTACCGTGACTTAGCGTCCTTCACAGGGAAACTGTTTGCTTTTTCCGTGGGTAGAATTTTCTTTTTCCTTGAAAACATCATTTCATCAAGGCGCAGCTGGGCTCGACTCCTCACGTGATTCTGCTGGATGCTCAGGGAGCCAGGCACATACAGATCTGTCTTCAGGATGGTTTCCTTCCACGTATCTCTCTCTCTGTAGTTTCTGTCTCATCGTTATGGTGTCTTCTGCAGAAACAGCTGTTATCTGCAGGTAAAAAAAGGTGACTTTAATATCAGCCCTTTCCCTGGGCATGTTTAAAACATTTCTCACTCTCATCCTTCCCACTGCTGAGTCTCAACTTTATCTTTCTGATTCTCTGTTCTAATGTGACCCTTTCACCGCAGTTTGCAGCTTTAGCTACGTGTTTAGTTACTTGTTTCATCGAATCCATCATTTCTTGATTTTGTTTGTGATACAGAACCGGCGCTGTCCTAAACTTCCTTGTTTCCTTGTGCCCTGGAGGTTGTATTTCTCTGGTCTTCATTGCACTTCTTTTCCAAAGCCGCACATTGGCTCCTTTCTGCTGATTGGTTCGGGAACCAGACAGGGTCTGATCAGATCTACTGTTTTTGTTTTACAAAGAGTGCTGTGGTTGGATTCTGCATGGGCCCCATCCTTGGGGAGGAGGGGGCCCTGAATCCAGCGCTGTCTCTTGCTGTGTGTGTGGCCCTGGACAAGTCACGGGCTGTTTTCTCTGCAACGGGATCCTGGTGCACTGTGGACGGTGACTGTGGGGGTTACCCGAGCCAGCGCGTGCTATGCCCCCCGCACTGTCTGCAGAGCCACATCCGCCAGAGTCCTCTCCCTGTGGCCTCTAGCCCAGGCTCCCGAGCATGGGAAAGCTGAGGGGGCACATTCTGCCTTCCAGGGACACCCTCCCCAAAGGCACCGCTGCCCGGGCCCTCCAGCTCTCCCGCCACTGCTCGCGGCTGAGGCTGGCCTCTGGGGCTCACGTCTGAGTGCCCCCCGCCTTCTGGCTTCCTGACCTCCAAGGTCAGGAGGAGAGTGGAGCCTGGGTTTACGCCCTGACCCCCAGGCCACAGGCTGCCTGGTGCCCCTGCTTCAGTGGCCCCGCTGGCCCCTCCAGGCCCAGCGGAGAGGACAGCCCCACACACACACACTTGGTCACCCCAGAGCTGTGCATCGCTTGCAGTTTCCTTAACCCTGACCACATCCTCTCATGCCGGGCCTCCATCCAGCTCTTTCCGGGTCTGCAGGAGGGTCTGTGTCCTGCCGGGACCCTGGGGAAGCACACTCCGGGGTCCTGCTTTCACCCCGTGACCTCTCGGTCTCCCGTCCTTAGGCTTCCCATGCAACCCGCCTGCCCTGGGTCCTCGCTGTCTGTACTCACCCCAGCCTACAACCGGTCAGTCTCTCTCTCCAGCCCCTCTCCACCCACCTACCCCCCAAAGCCCCGAAGCAAAACTTTCTGTCCAAATAAACAAACACAGTTCCCAGAGTCTGCTGCTTCCGATGCATCTGTGGCTCTGCATGGACCCCGCAAGGTGTGGGCCCTACACTGGCCTCATATGGACGCCCCCCGCCGCCGTGAGGGCTCCCACCACACCCCCCACCAGCCTCATTTCCCCCTGAAGCCTTCCCGCCCGCAGCCTGACTCTGGGTCTCCCCTAACTTGTGATGGCTGAGATTTCTGAGCCCTGATGCACGCCCATCCCCGGGAGGGCCATCAGCAAGGGGGTGTCCGGGGCTGTGGCTGCCCTCACAGTTCAGGGCAGTTGGGGACCCAGGGCGCAGGAGCCCCACCGCTGACCCCGCGTCCTCCAGCGAACCTGGAGGAGGCTTCCGACAGGGCATCCCTCCTGGTGGGCTGCCTGCCCTCGCGTGCCTGACTACAGTCTCTGCTCTGCCAGCTCTGCTCCGGCGCCAACATGAACGGATGTGCTGACTACACGCCCAGCCCCAGCAATCCCTCCGAGGAGCCCCCGGAGCCCCGAACCAGCCAAGCCGCCCTCCAGGAGGACGTGGACATGGGCTGTGGCTCGAGCGGGAACGAGACCAACGAGAACGGCTCGACGGGGCAGGACTCGCAGGGCAGCGACTGTGACGACAGCAGCCGGGAGCTGGGGCTACTGGTGGGGCCCCCTGCGGCCCAGGGGTGGGTGCGGCTTGTTTTCTCAGAGTCTCACTTGGTGGTAATGGGAGTGCTTTTGCAGTCTTTAAGTTGTGATGACCAAGTGTCTCAAGACTTTTGAAAATCCTATTAACTCACTTCAGTTTAGTTCAGTTGCTCAGCTGTGTGCAACTCTTTGCGACCCCAGGGACTGCAGCACACCAGGCCTCCCTGTCCATCACCAACTCCCGGAGCTTGCTCAAACTCATGTCCATTGAGTCAGTGATGCCCTCCAACCATCTCATTCTCTGTCTTATTAACTCAGAACAACTAAACTCTCCTGAGGTCTATCCTTCCTTATAACGGTGACATGGGTGTAGGATTGTGGTAGATGCATAATGTACCCGACAAGATCTCGGGAGGCAGAAGAGTCAGGTAACCCTGAATGATGCTGAGTGGTTTACAGACCATGAACTTGCTACTCTAGCCTAGGGTTTGTATCGCCCAGCACTTCCCTATCTGATATCCAGAGGTTTTCTGTTCGTTTTCTCTTAACCTCGTGTTGTTCCTAATTGACTTGCGCAGTGTGGTCCAGCCTGTCATCCCTGGGTGGATGGGGAGGACGGAGATGGACACGCTCCTCTGAGTTTTGCATTTATTTTTGTTCTTTTAGTCCAGAAACCTTTGGCCTGATGATGGCAAAGTCTCAACACCACCTGTCCACCAGCGGCTGCAGGTAAGACCAGTTACCACTCCCTCCATTCAGAGCCTTCAGAGAGGTCGAAAGGTTTGTCATGAGACGAGGTTTTGGGGGTGAAGTGACTGTTTTTGAGCTTCTCTTGGAGCCCGTCAGTCTGAGCAGCGATGTCCTCTGTGAATCCAGCCTCGTCCTTTTAGACGACTGACCCCTCGGTCTGCTCCAAGCCCCTGACTGTGCCCCAGGCCTGCAGCTCCTCTGACTCTGACTTGGCAGGCCTTGTCTGCATCTCAGACACGTACCTGGAACATTCCTGACCTCTTTTTTAGGTGTTTGTGACAAACATGTCTTTAATTTCACATTGACAGACAATTTCCCATCACCACTGGGGCAAAATTCAGACCTTAGTCCCAGGCCTGGGGGCAATATGCCATCACCCCTGAGGCCCAATCCCATCACTCTCTGGATCCTCTGTCTAAACAGCCTGTCTCCCTCTGTCTCTGTATCCTTGGATTTGAAGATCCTCCTTGTAAACTTGGTCTCCTCTCCTCTCCTCTCTTCTCACTGTTCATATCCTTGTCCCAGGACGCCACCATGCTGTCCCCTGGGGTCTCCATCACTCACTCCTTCTCTGTCTGAGACCAGAAGGAAGACAGCTCAGCAGTGGGGTGGGCTGGTCAGGCGGTGAGTGGACCACTAGGCCTTGCTGGTAGAGAAGAGTCAACAGGAAGGATGCCGTCCAGCGTTCACCTGGTTAGAGCACTGCTTCTCCCAGGACGGCTCCTCTCCCTACGAGCACACAGGCGTGTCTGCAGACAGTGTTGGTTTCACAGCTGGCAGGGCGCCCCTGCAGCCTGCATGCCCACCAAGAACATGCAGACCGCAGGGTCCTCGCGCCCCAGTGGGGAAGCTGGGCCAGAGGCATGGAGACGGCAGCACTCAGGGTGCTCACGTCCTTCTTCAACTCCGCAGCAGCCAGCAGTCCACCAAAGCCGATGCCCACAGAGAGCTCATCAAAACACTGAAGGAGCTGAAGGTCCACCTCCCCGCGGACAGGAAGGCCAAGGGGAAGGCCAGCACCTTGGCGACCCTCAAGTATGCCCTGAGGAGCGTGAAGCAGGTGAAAGGTAGGTGTTTGTTCCAACCTGTAGCAGTAAGTCTCAGCTCTCCCCAGATTAGAGCTTGGACTGGGTTGATTTTCTGAAATTCAGTCCTGAAAAAGCAGAAGGAAATCATAGAAGTCTGATGAAATCGCAGTTGGTTGAAAACCTTGGTTCATCAGAAGTTTTCTATTATACGTGACTTTTAGGGAAAAGGAAAAAAAAAAGCAGGTAGAAAACCAGCCAATAAAGAAACCTGTTTATTAATGCAACATGGAGCTTTTGTACCCTGGGCTGGGGTCCCGTCACGTTCCGGAGTGTCCAGCGCCTTCCTGGCTCTGGCCAGAGAGTTCTGATGTGCGTGTGGGCTGGGGCTGTGAGCGCCCCCCACACCCAACCCAGCCTGCCGCTGATGGCTTACCTTTAAAAAGTCATGTGAGGAGATACAAGGAGGGTATTGCCTCATGTTTCTAAGCATGTTGAGTTTCTCCTGTGGTGGTCTTTCTGCCAGGAAGGCGGGCGGGCAGGCCCCGTGCCCCTTTCCATCCCAGGCAGTAACAGCCTGCGTGATCCACATGCCACTTCCCTCTGTGGGTCTGTTCGGATTTTATCATTAGATGGAAGAACACGGAAGAGCTTTCAGAACCGTCAGCAGAAGCAAAGGGTTTCCCTGGTGGCTCAGTGGTAAACAATCCGCTTGCAATGCAGGAGATGCGAGGTCGATTCCTGGGTCAGGAAGATCCCCTGGAGGAGGGCATGGCACCCCCCTCCAGTATTCTTGCCTGGAGAGTCCCATGAACAGAGGAGCCTGGCGGGCTACAACCCTCAGGGTCACAAAGAATCTGGACAAGACTGAAGTGACTGAGCACACACACAGCAAAATCGGCTGAGGCCTTTACCTGAGACGGCACATGCTGGGCTCTCCACAGAGGCAGAGCGGGAACTTACAGCAAACGCTGCAGGCTCCAGCATGCATGCGTCCACAAGCTCAGGTGCCTGCGTTTCGGTAAATCCCACATCCCGTGAATAGCTCCCAGTGAGCTTAGTCTTCCTTCAGCAGCCCTGTGACCTGGCCTTCCACCGAGCCGGTGCCCCTGCCCTGGGTCTCAGGTAACCACAGGTGCCCCGTCTCCAGGCAGGTAAGGAAGGCGTGACCGCAAGAGCCGCCAGCGTTCCTAGCACTGTTCCACCTGAAGCCCACCCCCCGGGAGTCCAGGCCCAGGATGCCATGCCTGGGGTCACCTCTAGATGGTTTAGCTGCGGTAGTCGGTCAGCCTGGGCTCCGCTCACCTGGGGCCCCTCTGGCAGAGTGGCTTTGTCAGCCTGTACGGGTCCCAGGATGAGTGGCCAGCATCTTCGGTTCTCTTGTGAACACTTTGTTCCCTGGGTTGTTTCCATGCCAGGTGTGTTTCTAAGAGTCGATTCTGTGCAGATGGGAGCGTCCGGTTGCCGAGGGGGTGGGAACAAGGGGCTGTCCCATTGTCCTGCCTGGAAACAGCAGTGTGCCGTAGCATCACGAAGACAGGCCTGTGGGGGACATGCACTCAGGTGGACTGTGTGGTCATGTTTCTGAGAAGCCTGGGAATGTTCCTGAGAAGTTCCTGAGAATGATTTAAAAGATTCAGTGATCAAAGGCCTTCTGATTTTTCAGGGGAAAAAAACCTGGATTTCTGTTTGTTCAGCCTTTACTCTTTGTGCTCTCTGCCCCATTTCTCACGAGGAGGGCAGAGCACTCAGCGTGAGCTCAGCACCACGCTCAGCCTTGCGCGTGGTCTCTCCGCAGCCAGCGAGGAGTACTATCAGCTGCTGATGCCCAGCGAGAACCGCCCCTGCAGCGCCCACGCGCCCTCCTACACGCTGCGCGAGATCGAGGGCGCCACCTCCGAGCTCATCGTGAAGAATGCGGTGAGCGCCTGATCCAAGCCGGGTCTTCGCCCAGAAAGCTCACCGCCACTGGCCAAGCCTCCCTGGGGGAGCCAGCCAAGCCCTGGCTTCATAGCAGCAGGGCCGCGAGTTTCAGGAGATGGGTTCCTTACTTTAAAAAAAAGAGCGTAAGTCAGGGATTCAGAAGCAGCGGCCACGTGCCAGCTCGTGCTGCTCTCTGAGGCCAACCCCTCACAGCCCAGCCGACTCCACCCCACACCTGAGGGTGTGGCAGTGAGCCCCCACTGATGGGGGGCCCCACGTGATGGGAAGGGGAAGGACACAAGTAGCCCGTAGGTGGGGCTCACCCTGAGGTCTCGGAAGGGGGTGAGTCACCCCCAGCTCTCAGTCAGGAGAGCAGACTTAAGGGCAGGTAGGGACCCACAGGTCCCAGAAGCACAGCAGGGCTGGCCAGGGGAAGGAAGGGGCTCCTGACTCTCCAAGGTCACTCCCCCAGTGCCCCCGCTGCAGCTTAACCCCAGGGGCCCCTTATCCCCTGGAGATCCCCAGCCCCGAGCTCAGAGGGCCAGCTGGCCAAGAGAGCCTGAGTTTGGGCCGGGGCCCCACGGCCTCCAGCCCCCCAGGCAGCCCCTGCGCTCGGGAGAGATGCGCTGCAAAGGCTCGTGGCTGACAGTCGGGGGGAGCGGGGTGAGGCCCCTGCCAGCAGTGCCATGCCCAAAGCCCGGGCGGGCGACGGCTGCAGAGGATTCCCACAGGGGGGTTCTGCTCAGCAGTGGAACCCACGTGTTTCCCAAACAGTACCCCCTGGGACCCTGTACATGTGAGAGAAGAAGTCCGGCCACTGTGGTCCGGGCCGGGGAGAGCGGTCCAGAGGCCTCCCCGACCCTTCACTTGTCCCGCTCCCTGCCTGTCCCTCGGCCCGATTCTGGAGGGACCCCAATTCCAGGGGGGGTGACCTGTCCAGTCCTCTCCTGCCTGGCTTCACCAAAGCCACGTTCTCCGCGTCCCAGGATATGTTTGCGGCCGCTGTATCCTTGGTGACCGGGAAGATCCTGTACATCTCTGACCAAGTGGCCTCCATCTTTCGCTGTAAGAGGGACACCTTCTACGACGCCAGGTTTGTGGAGTTCTTGGCGCCCCATGATGTGAGTGTGTTCCACAGCTCCACCACGCCGTACAAGCTGCCGCCCTGGAGCGACCGCCGCCAAGCAGGTGAGGGCTCGGCCCGGCAGGGTGGGGGCCGGTCAGGGTGACCCCCGATGTGGGGCCACTGCCCACCTCCCCTCCACTGGGCTCCGCTGCAATCCCCCAGTGTGCCCTCCCAAAGAGGCCGGCGTGTCTGTCCCAGGTGAAAGGTTAAAGGTTGTCTGCTCAGAATAAATTTAGGGGAAAAGTCCTTATAGATTTCAGAAAGGGAAAATGGCTTCAGAAGATTTAAGGGATGTCAGGTGTTTTTGAAAGGAAGGTGATGGAAGCTGAAGTCTGGAGGTGAGGCTACAGAGAGGGGGGAAGGACAGAGGCACATCTGGAAGGCTTCCTGCAGGCAGTGTGGTGATGTCAGCGCAGAGGGGAAGCTCAGCACCTCCGCGAGGCTGCTTCGTGAACACAGACCACACCGTCCTCCCAGCTTAGACCCAGCTGGGCGTTCCGGGCTCCGTGGGCTCCGGTCTGCACCATGGTGGCTGCATGCCCAGGCCCCGGGGCTCCCAGCCTACCCTACTCTGCTCCTGGCCACGGGCTCTCACGGCCAAGTGTCGTGTGTGCTTGTCCTGCAGTGTCTGTCCATCTGCGCCTGGACGGTCATTAGCCCCTCTTTGGGCTCTTGAGTTCTCGAAGCTGAGATGGACCCAGAGAGGAGAAGCCCCAGGGAGTCAGGAGAGACAAGCAGGAAACGGACGGGACCGGGAGCGCTCCGGATAAGCTGGGCCTCGGTCGTGATCTCGACCAAGAGCCAGCCCTGGCTGTGTCCCCCAAAACTGACTCCTATCCTTGGCTCCTGGATCAGGTCTCTGCTCTCATCAAAATGCTCCTCCGCCCACATCCACCTCTGCCTGGACCTCGGGTCCCTCCACGCCGTGGTGCTCCCCTCCCCTGCTTCCAGGCAGCAAGGCCGGCACCATCACTGTCAGAGCCCCAGTTCAGCAGCTGTTCCTACCTGAGCCCAGACAACCCGGGCCAGAGCACAGTTTGCTCCAAGATTGACTCATAACGAGCGGACGCTCGCGTCACGTTTCAGGGGTCAAGCCATCTGCTTTCTCCTGAAGCCCCAGCCCAGGAACTGTGCAGCCAGATCACTCAAGGCTGTGGCCAGTGTTAGGAGGACCGCTCAGCTCTGGGTCACTGCTAGGAGGGCAGGAGCTCTGCGTGCGGGCTCACAGCGTGACCAGGCGGCGCCGTCCCCCGGGGATGCTTGGGGCTGAATCTTTATCTGAATAGAAAATAAGGCCTTTCCGGGTTAGTAATTTTATATCATTTTCCCTAACCAGTAATTGTCTGCTTTTCCTTGCGTTTTGTTGTTGTTGTTGTTGGTTTCTTTGTTTTGAGTAGAGGAAGCTTTATGAGAAAGACCAAAATTTAAGATTTCTTTTCTTAAATTGTGTTTATTATGAAAACACTGTTCTTTCATGTCTAATGAGATCATTGGGTTGAACTCATGTTTTTGCTAGACAGTTAAATTTTAAAGTAAGGATTGATGAAAGCTGTGAAATGCCCTGAGTTGCTTCTGTTACAAAACAATAGAATGGGAAAGACTAGAGACCTCTTCAAGAAAATGAGAGATACCAAGGGAACATTTCATGCAAAAATGGGCACAATAAAGGACAGAAATGGTATGGACCTAACCGAACCAAAGAATATTAAGAAGAGGCGGCAGGAATACACAGAACTGTACAAAAAAGGTCTTAATGACGCGGATAACCATGATGGTGTGATCATTCACCTAGAGCCGGACATTCTGGAGTGTGAAGTCAAGTGGGCCTTAGAAAGCATCACTATGAACAAAGTTAGTGAAAGTGATGGAACTGCAGCAGAGCTATTTCAAATCCTACAAGATGATGCTGTGAAAGTGCTGCACTCAATACGCTAGCAAATTTAGAAAACACAGCAGTGGCCACAGGACTGGAAAAGGTCAGTTCTCATTCCAATCCCAAAGAAAGGCAATGCCAAATAAGGCTCAGACTACCGCACAGTTGCACTCATTTCACATACTAGCAAGGTAATGTTCAAAATCCTTCAAGCGAGGCTTCAAAAGTATGTGAACCAGTAACTTCTAGATGTTCAAGCTGGATTTAGAAAGGGCAGAAGAGGAACCAGGGATCAAATTGACAGCATCTGTTGGATCACAGAAAAAGCAGGAGAGTTCCAGAACTCTCTGGAACATCTGCTTTATTGACTACACTAAAGCCTTTGACTGTGGATCACGACAAACTGTGGAAAATTCTTCAAGAGATGGGAGTTCCAGACCACCTTACCTGCCTCCTGAGAAACTTGTGTGCAGGTCAAGAAGTGACAGAAATAGACATGAAATAATGGAGTGGTTCCAAATTGGGAAAGGAGTACATCAAGGCTGTATGTTGTCAACCTGCTTATTAACTTCTATGCAGAGTACATCATGTGAAATGCCAGGCTAGATGAAGCTCAAGCTGGAATCAAGATTGTTGGGAGAAATATCAATAATCTCAGATATGTAGATGCCACCACCCTTATGACAGAAAGTGAAGAGGAACTAAAGAGCCTCTTGATGAAGGTGAAAGAGGAGAGTGAAAAGCCTGGCTTAAAACTCAACATTTAGAAAACTAAGATCATGGCATCAGGTCCCATCCCTTCATGACAAATAGATGGGGAAACAATGGAAACAATGACAGACTTATTTTCCTGAGCTCCAATATCACTGCAGATGGTGACAGCAGCCATGAAATCAAAAGATGCTTGCTCCTTGGAGGAAAAGCTGTGACAAACCTAGACAGTGTAATAAAAAGCAGAGTCGTCACTTCGCCAACAAAGGTCCATATAGTCAAAGCTATGGTTTTCCAGTAATCAGGCACAGATATGAGAGTTGGACCATAAAGAAAGCTGAGTGCCAAAGAACTAATGTTTTCATAATGCTGGAGAAGACGTTTGAGAGTCCCTTGGACTGCGTGGAGATTAAACCAGTCAATCCTAAAGGAAATCAGTCCTGAATGTTCATTGGAAGGACTGATGCTGAAGCTGAAGCTCCAGTACTTTGGCCACCTGATGCAAAGAGCCAACTCATTAGAAAAGACCCTGATGCTGGGAAAGATTGAAGGTGGGAGGATAAGGAGATGACAGAGGATGAGATGGTTAGATGGCATCACTGACTCAATGGATGTGAATTTGAGCAAGCTCCAGGAGATGGTGATGGACAGGGAGGCCTGGCGTGCTGCAGTCTGTGGGGTCACAAAGAGTCAGATAGGACTTAGCAACTGAAGAGCAGCAATCCCCCCAGAAATGTTTGGGTTGAGATACTTGGGTGTTCACATGCAAACACTCTGCCCACCAGTGAGTACACGTCCCAGAGTTAAATCTGTCATTAGTTGGTGTGTTTGTGGCAGTGCTGTTAGCATGGCATGTTTTGGTGAGTGCTCGCTCGTGAACTAGACCTCACCTCGGTCAGGACTGAAGTTAGAGGTCTGTGCCCTGAGGGCTCCACTCGGTGGCAGGTAAACCGGCCCCTGCACCCTGACTCTTAATTCTCCTGCTCCTGCCTCATCTGTGGGCAATAAAAGCACCTTCCAGGGTCAGCTGTGTGACAGGTGGAGTGACTGGGACTTTCTCTTTCAGACTCTTTTACTCAAGAATGCATGGAGGAGAAGTCTTTCTTCTGCCGTATCAGGTGAGCCCAGCTCCTGAAGGTGGGGAAGGTGCAGGAGTGCCCTCGCCCCGCCGCCCGCCCAGGCCCCGTTCTCTGGGGCGGAGGCTCAGCAGGGACGCCTCTGCCACACGTCACACCTGGTCCTGGAAAGTCCGCGTGAAGACACGCTTTCGTAGGCCAAGCCGTTCTGTTTTGTTTCACTTTTTGGCCACGCTGCTTGGCTTGTGCAGCCTTAGTTCCCTGCCCAGGGATCGAACCGGGGCTCTGGCAGTGCAAGCAGTAAGTCCCTATCACTGGCCTGCCAGGGAAGTCCCAAGCCGCATTTTAAATGAGCTCGGAGCATTAGGAGAGACGGGTCAGCAGTGCGGTGGCTGAGCTGCTCCTCGTGAAGAACGTCAGCCTGGGCAGCCCAGACTTGCAGCCGTCACCTGGGAGACTGGCCAGCTCCCCCCACCCCGGAAAGGCATGAACCCCAGGTTCCGTGAGGACCCCGGAAGCTCGTGTAGCCTTTGGTCTGAGTGTGTTTTCTCAGGGAGAGCCCACAGCTTTCCCCTCAGGTTCTGTGAGGACCCCAGAAGCTCATGAAACCCTTAGTCTAAGTGTGTTTTCTCAGGGAGGGCCCACAGGTCTGTGGTCCCGAATCAAGGGACCCGTTGAACATCCGTCTGTAGTGTCAGGAGTGGCCCAGGACAGCCGCGTACCCTCAGGAGTTGGGGCTAGGACTCCCGCAGTGGAGCAGCAGCCCTTCCCCCAATTAAAATGCAAACTGCCCCAGAGAAGGGCCCCGAAGCACTGCCATTGCTCAGGCCAGTGGCTGTCTGAGGGCCCCTCACTGTCCCTGGACGTCTGAGGGCAAGGACAGAGAAGCAGGGTGGTGGGTCGCAGACCCTCTTGCAGGCTGGAGGCACAGATCAGAGACCAAGTGAGCATGCCCGACTCGGCCTGGGTGAGGGGCCCAGTGAGCCGCCCGGCTCGGCTCTGTGGACATCTGTGTAATAAGCAAAGGATGCTGAAACACAGCAGCCGCTGCTGGGGGAGAGGTAACCAGCAACAGAGGACGAGTCCTTCTGCCCTAATCCCCGGCCTCTCCTCCCACCCTCCTCTGCAGTGTCGGCAAAAACCACAAGAGCGAGATCCACTACCTCCCGTTCCGCATGACGCCCTACCTGGCCCAGGTGCTCGAGCGGCAGGGTGCGGAGAGCCAGCTGTGCTGCGTGTTGCTGGCAGAGAGAGTGCACTCGGGCTACGAAGGTAACGCGGGCCAGCCTGCTCCCCGGCTTCAGTCCGAGGCTCAGACCCGTGTCTGTAAGGTGGGCTCCCAGCCCCAGGCAGTCTCCTCTCCCTCCAGACACACCCATCCTCCCCTGTCGGCCAGAAGCACTAGGCCCCGCATCTCTCACTGGGTCCAGGCATTGCTGGACCGTGGGTGCCCTCCCCTTCCCCGCCACAAATTATGTTCTAATATAACTACATTGAAATCAAAAGTCTGTGCAAAATTCTTTTCTTTCAGCCCCTAGAATCCCTCCTGAAAAGAGAATTTTTACGACCACACATTCGCCAAATTGTCTTTTCCAGGACGTGGACCAAAGGTAAGCCAGGCAGCAGCACCCCCCCCACCATGCTCACCTCCCCCTCCCGCTGGTCTTGGAGTCAGTGCTGTACCCTTCACAGCAGCAGGTTCCCCGCCCCAGACAGTTCGTGTCTCATCACTGCCTTGGTAGTTACTTAATAACCAAATAAAGCTGAATGAACTTTCATGATTTTGATGTTGAAGCTATTTAGCTAAAGCTCAGGCTGCATGTTATACGTAATAATCAATGAAAACACTCAGCTATATGTAGACAATGAAATAATTATGGAATCACACTAAAACCTCCTAAGGTATGGACTCTACGTAGATGAGACATGCTGGGGAGCTGGTCATCATTCTAGTTGAGCTTGTCTACATACCCTTGTTTAAACCTGGTTCAAAAGTCGGACGCACATGTCAAGGCTGGTGCAGCCAGGGACCACATGCCTGGACGGTGCTAGGACTGAAGCTGAAGGCATCCCTGGCAGGGCCCCAGCAGAGGTGCATCCCCAACCTGCCTGCCATAGGCCACTGCGGCGAGCGGCCACCGCCGTACCTCTGCCCAGAGCCCTCCTGCGCTCCCTGCCTGGGTCCTCGGCGCAGGGTGCTGTAGTCGGTGCCCGTGGCCCTGCTGGGCTCAGGAGCACTGACCATTCTGAGGGCTCAGGGTCCCCGTGTGACTTCCTCAGCTCCTAGGCACATGCACGAAGACACACAGGAGGCTGCTGCTGCTGCCCCAGCAGGGCTCGGGGAGAAGTCTCCTGGGGAGACCCGCAGGGAGCTTGCTGGGCTTTCTGCAGGGTGTCTGTGCAGGGTTAGGCCCCCCACCGCCCACACCAGGCCCAGGGACACCAGGTGCCCCTGCCCCCAGCTGCAGGCGGCCTGCTGGGAAGTTCTGCTCTCTGGCAGCCAGGCCCATCAGCCTCCCCAGCCCCAGGCTGCTCAGCTGTGCACAACCAGCCACCTGCAGCTTCGAGGAGCAGGTTCCAGGCCCCGCCTCCCTGGGGGACAGGATCCTGGAGGTTGGGGCCTAGGAGCTACATTTGTGAAGCAACACCAGGATAGTTTTTATTCCTCCAAAAGCCTAAGCATTCCTGTCTGCAGCCGCCTCAGGTGTCTACTCATTTGTGTGCAGGAGGCCTGGTGAGCTGGTCACTGTGGGCCAAGAGGCTGCAGAGCCTGGCTCAGCACAGCCCAGCGGACAGTCCAGCCCATGGAGCCCAGGCCAGCCTGGCCCTCCTCCTTCCCTTTCCCCTCCTCCTCCCCCCGGACAGGCCTTGACCAGGACATGCTGTACATCCTGTCCAAAGGAAAATACCAGGCCCAGAACGTGCCCCAGGCAAGGAGGAGGAAATCAAAGAACTCCCACGAGGAAGTTCTCCCCACACAGAACAGGGAGGCTTTGCTCTAAGGAAAGAACAAGCTGCTCCACGTGAGCAGAAGTCAGCTTGAGAAGCAGCTGCTGGGATGAAAGGGGACCGGCCTGAGAAGGGAGACTGAGATGCCGCTCGCAACAGGAGCTGAGCCACCAGAGGGTGCTGGGCTCACGCACAGAGGCAGGAGGGGGACTACAGAAGTTCGGTGTAAAACATTGCCTAGAAAGCAAGACAGCTGCACCCAGGGAAGACCTGGTGGGCACAGGGCAGGGGCCCAGTTGGCGACGGCAGCTCCTGGGGACCAGACGCAGTGGCCACAGGTAGGGCAGGAGGAGGACGCCTGGAGCTGGGGAGATGCCCACAGGCAGGCCTGCCCTGGTCCAGGCAAACTTGCTTTAGAAAGTCAGTGTCAAGCCACGTCTAGCCAAACTTGCTATTGCCAAGTCACTTCAGTCGTGTCCGACTCTGTGCAACCCCATAGACAGCAGCCCACCAGGCTCCGCCGTCCCTGGGATTCTCCAGGCAAGAACACTGGAGTGGGTTGCCATTTCCTTCTGGCCAAACTTAGGACACATTAAAAGGAAAAGATCTTAGAAGAAGAAAACAAAAACGTTATCATGATCGATTCTTTCAGGAAATCAGGTCTAAGCACTGAGCCTGTGATGGGCAGGGCCCTGTAGGACCCAGCTTCTGGTCTCAGACCCTCGGGATGCAGCATGCTTGGTTTGCTAGTTAATGAAAAGCCTGACTGTTGCCTCGTCAGCACCGGTACCCAGATTTGGTCTTTAGGGGATTCAGAGCCGGCCTCGTTCCTGGAGATGATGGGCCGGCTGCCGCTCCTGGAGGCCGTGTTCTGGCCGGCGTTCTGAGCACGGCCATGACCCCGTGCTGCTTGCCTTGCAGGGCCGTCCCTCTCCTGGGCCACCTGCCCCAGGACCTGATCGAGACCCCTGTGCTCGTGCAGCTGCACCCCAGCGACAGGCCCCTGATGCTCACCATCCACAAGAAGAGTAGGTCCCCTCCTCGAAGTCCTTCCTGGGGGTGCAGACAAAGCTAGTGCAGTCTGGGGGTGTCTTCCTGAGGTCAGCACCCGCCAGGACTGGTCCAGGGGGCTGCGGGTGAGGGCTGCCCACTGCCTGCCTGAGTCCTGGCACTGTCGGTCGGTCGAGAGTAGCCCACGGCCTGAGTCCTCGGTGTCCTGTTTTGACTGTTGGCTGCGCCAGCAGGCAGGAAGAAAGGAGACAGGGTCAGCTGGTGGGGCGTGGGGGCGTAGGGTGGTTGACCCAGGCCAGGGGAGTGGACGACCCCAGTCCTACAAACCCACAGACAGGCGACACTGAGATCCCACTGGGAGAAGACCAGTGAGGCTCGCAGGGGCGTGTGTCCTAAAATCCGCGAGGACACTGCTGCAAGCAGCCCCGTGTGCAGCCTAAGGCAAAACAGAAGGTTCAAAGCGGTGGCTTTGAAAAGGTATTGGTGTCTCCTGAGTTTTCACATGATTCCAAAATTAAGTGCATCTCCACGTGTCTTCTACTGCAAGCACCAGCTGCATCTGCTCACATCCTGAACTCTGCTCTCCCTCCCCTAGTTGTGCAGTCCGGGGGGCAGCCCTTCGACTACTCCCCCCTCCGGTTCCGTGCCCGAAATGGGGAGTACATCACGCTGGACACCAGCTGGTCCAGCTTCATCAACCCCTGGAGCAGGAAGATCTCCTTCATCATTGGGAGACACAGAGTGAGGGTGTGAGTGCTCCCAGGGCCTGGGGCGGTGAGGGAGCTGTGGGGGGGCAGACCCAGGTCGCCTCCCACCATGGATCTGCCCCCCGGCGGGCGTGGCCTCGTTCAGGTGGACAGTGAGTGGGAGGAGGGAGTGAGGAGTGGGCAGGTGGCAGCCTGGGAGGTCTGCAGGGAGGAGGCAGGGGCCCGACTCACAGAGACAAATGGAAACTGCGCAGGGGGCCTCTAAATGAGGACGTGTTCTCTGCTCCGCCGGGCCTGGAGGAAAAGGCCCCACAGCCCGGCGTCCAGGAGCTCACAGAGCAGATCCACCGGCTGCTGCTGCAGGTGGGTGCGCTGCCCCCCGCCCCCTAGGCAGCCCGGGGCTGCCCCCAGGCCAGGGCCCACCCTCCTCCCCAGGCCCGTCTCCTGCTCCCTGGTGCTGGTGCCCACAGCCCGCCCCCCTGGGCAAGTGGCTGGAGGGTGTGGTCCTCCTGGGTGGAGGTGGTGGGGGCGTCCCTCCAACTTGGGAAGCCGAGCTGGCCCCAGGGGACTGGAGGAAACCCCCCCCCTTCCTGTCCTTAGGGACACAGCCCTCAGGAAGAATTCCTGTGATCACGTGGGCCCCGGGGGAGCGACTTCCTGCTTCTCGGTTCCCAGGGGCTGGGGGTACTGTCAGGCACCTTGTTTTGTCTCTGAACCCCATGGCCATGGATTCCCTGGGGACTGAGATCCAGGCCCGGCCCCATGGCTGGAGACGGGGAGCCCACCGCCGCCCGACCCTAGGTCCAAGCCCGGCCCCACCTGGTGCTCCCCGAGAGCCGCCCCCCTCCCCCGCCAGCAGGTTACGGCCTCTCAGATTCGGTGGGGGGGCCACACCCCGCCTGTCCAGACTCCTCCTGCCGCTGTCTCCGCAGCCCGTGCCCCACAGCGGCTCCAGCGGCTACGGGAGCCTGGGCAGCAACGGGTCCCATGAGCATCTCATGAGCCAGACCTCCTCCAGCGACAGTGCCGGCCAGGAGGACCCCCGCCGGAGGAGAGCCGTAGGTGCCCCGTGGTCCCCCTCTGCCCATCACCTGTGACACTGGTGGCCGTGCGCTCTGAGACCAGCCCTCACTGAGGCCAAGCCTGTCTGGCCTCAGCTGCTTCCGGCTGCTCTAAACTCGGCTCACCTGGGACTCACTCTGTAGCCTTGAAAGGGTGGGAGCAGCTGCAAGCTGTGGCTACAGGTTTGGGTGAGGACTATTTAAAGCAGGCAAATCAGACAAAAGTGAAGATCAAACAGAAGGATTAGGCTTAGAAAGAAGAAAGAGTAGCCTAACACTCACTTTATTTCTTATTATTCTTCAGAATCGTAAAATCTGCTTTGTTTGGGTCTCAGATCTCATTTCGAGCTTGCTTCTCTGTTTCTGGGGTTAGTTGGGCTTTTCTTTCTCAGCCTGTGGGGCACAGGTTGCAGGGTCTCCTGGGGTGAATAATGTGTTCGTTTGTTTTTGTTTTTCTTCAAGGAAATTTGTAAAAATGGTAACAAGGCCAAAAGCAAAATTCATTACCCTGATGAATCTGGAGAACAAAAGAGCAAGCCTGCTTCAGGTACCAAATGATCCAGCATTTCCTTAGTGAGGCTTCAGCGTGGCAAGACGGGGAGGCGGGTGTGACTAAAGCTCTGGATGCAGGGAATTTCCCCTTTGAGTTGGGCCATTCGCTTCTGTGCTGACACAGGGCTCAGCCTGGGGTCCACACCACAGCCCCTGTCCCGGGGGCCCTGCCCCCAGAGGCCCACGAGGTGTAGCCAGGTGTGCGCCTCTGCCCCATGACCCCCTGGTCCCACTCTGCAGAGTGGCCCTGAGCCACGTGAGCAGATGCTTGCCCAGGGGCTGCCCAGCTGTCCCGCGGACGGTCCAGGCCCAGCTGCCTGAGGTGGGGGTGCTGGCTCTGCTCCTGGGCCCCCCACCCTGCACCCCAGGCCTGATCCCGCTCACCACGTGGCGAGTCGCATTGGAAGAGACCAAACCTTCCGAGGCTGGGAATATCGATGGACCACAAAGCTCCTGTGATCTTCAGGTGTTCAAGTAGGAACTGGCCTTTCCCACTGCTGAGTCCCTGAACCTGGGGACAGCCCAGACCAAGTGGGGATGAGAGAGCTCCCTCCGCTGGCCCGGCGGGGTGGCCTGAGTCCCAGGCTGGCCTGGTGGAGTGGCCTGAATCCCAGGCTGGCCCGGGGTCTCCGTGTCTGTGAGGCACATGCTGAGCCCTGGCACTGTTTTTCAGTAGAATTGAAATGCTTTGTAATCTTAGAGTGGGCACTAGGGGAAACAAGTATTAATGGAAAGAACGATGTTGTCGTTGCTCCAGAAATGCAGAGCGGTTCCCCGACTCTGATGAAAGCTGCTGCGGCCATGGAGAAGGACAGCTCCAGGGCCAGCCTGCCCGAGGTCAGCCCTCCCAAGGAGCTGGCCTGCAGGGACCCACCGGCCGGCTCCTACCAGCAGATCAGCTGCCTGGACAGCGTCATCAGGTGCGGCCCTTCTGGCCTCCCTCCCCGCCAGCGGCACCCACGGTCTGACTCTCGGTTACATGAAGCCCTTTCCAACACCCCCGCAGGTACCTGGAGAGCTGCAGCGAGGCAGCCACCCTGAAGAGGAAGTGCGAGTTCCCTGCGAGCCTCGCCACGCCCCAGGCCAGTGACAAGCGCCAGGCCCTCGCGGGCCCCGGGCTGCATGCTGCAGGTACCATGTCTGCTTGAGCTGTACCCGCCACTTACCCCTCTCTCGGGATCAGGCCTTATCTGAGTGCCCGAGGCCCCTTCTCCCTTCTCCTGTGGGTTCTGAGCGGCCTCAGGGACACGTGCTGGGGTGTCGCTGCTGATTTAAATGACCAAAATGTCTCAGAACTTTCTTACCAGCTGGAGGTAGAGGTGGTTCTGGACTTAGAGGACAGGATCCCCCGGGGCTGCCGGAAGCCAGGGTGTCGTTCTCCGGCGGGCCTGTTTCATGGTGTCTCAGAGGAGGACTGGCCTCTGAGTGTCAGCGGCCCCAGGAGTCAGAGGAGATCAGATGTGTGGCTATTACTGATGGTCCTCAGCAGGACCACAAGCAGGGTCTCCATGGTTGATGGAAGCCTGGGCGACTGGTGAGGCCCGTCCCAGCCTGCGGGGGAAGCCCAGCTGCTCACCTGCCCTCAGCAGAGGGGCCCTGGCCGCAGGGTGGGGCTCCCCACAGGCCCCGGCAGAGGCCCTGAGCCCAGGCACCTGCCTCCTCCCAGAGGATGCAGGATGTCAAGGTGCCATTGTCCCCATTCCTGAGTCTCCGCTTCTCTGCCATTCCCCGGAGGGCACAGCATCCGCTGGCAGGTCGAGTGCAGACTTGAGCCCCCAGGTCCTGGAGCGCCCCCTTGGCCGGCCTCCGTGATTCTTGTCACAGCAGCTCGCCCTTACCGCGGTTTGTGTCTGCTTCCGTTTTCTCCTGCAAAGAGGCAGCATCGCCCTCCCCGATGAAGGGCCGCAGGGACGTGAGCGCGCACCTGACGTCGCTGACGCTGCCCGGCAAGGCGGAGAGTGTGGCGTCCCTCGGCAGCCAGTGCAGCTACAGCAGCACCATCGTCCACGTGGGGGACAAGAAGCCGCCGCCCGAGCTTGGTAGGTGCGCCGAGTCCTGGCGACCGCGGGAACAGTCTGACGCTGACCGTGGAGAGCAGGGGTTTGACGCCCGTCCCCAGATCCTAAGTGTATCTGAGTGCAGGCGCACCCACGTGGCCCAGTAAGGGGGTGTCCAGGAAGTCCAGGCACGTGCCGTGCAGGATGGGGGTGGCGACACCTGCCCCCGCTCCCGCCACACTCCGGCTCCCCCTGTGACAGGTGTCCGCTCAGGTGTCAACATGGAGGGGCTTCCTGGGACCGAGCAGTGATGCCAGGACTCCCCTTTGGTTGGGGCTGAGAGAACCCCGGGGACAAGGACCCCCGACCTCCCAACTGCCATGGGTGGGGTGGCAAGCCTGGCCCTCCCGTTGGAGGACAGGAGCTGAGACAGGACAGCCAAGGGCAATATGCTGAGCTGTCCTTCAGACACCTAGAGGAGAACCAGCCTGAACCTGTTCTCTGCTTGGAAGAAGGGCGTGATGAGGGGGAGAGTCCACATCAGAGGGCCAGTGGCCAGCCCCCCTCAGGATGGCCTGTAGTCCCACGGGCCCCATCCTGCCTGCCCCCACGGTTCTACTGACCACACCGTCAGGCCTGTGGTCCTATGCCAGGACAGGGCCAGGTACCTTCTGTGCTCTGAAAGCCCAAGACAGCCTCGAGTGTCTTCAGTGTCAGAGGCTGAAACTCCAGGTGCCCCCAGGTTAGAGGACGGCTCAGTTTAGAGGACGGATTCCAGAGCCCGCACCTGACGTGGCTTCGTGTCCCCGCTTGTTGGCTTTGGTTGGCAGCTTTCTCAGAGAGCTGAGTAGACGCGTCTCAAGCGTCAGCCCCATCCTGTGGGCATTGTGCGGGAGTCTTCTGTGGGAGACTCTGGCCTTTGCGGGAGCCGTGCGCGTTTTCTCAGCCGTTCTCGGGCAGAAGGGCCCTTGCGGATGAGAGCTCCGCGTCCGCTGTTCCAGAGCCGCTGGGAGATGCTGCTGCAAGCGGGCCCGAGTCTCTGGAGTGCCCGGCGGGCCCCGCGCTGCCCTGCGGCCTCAGCCAGGACCAGGAGGCCTTCCAGAAGCTGGGCCTCACCAAGGAGGTGCTAGCCGCCCACACCCAGAAGGAGGAGCAGAGCTTCCTGCTGCGGTTCCGGGAAATCAGGAAACTCCATGTTTTCCAGTCTCGCTGCCATCATTATCTGCAAGAAAGGTCCAAGGGGCACTTGAGCGACAGAAGTAAGTGACGACATCTGAACTAAAAGTGGGTTTTAACTTTGTTCTTAACGCTGCTGCGTCCCGTGCTGGTTTCAGACGGTGAGCGCCCCCTCCTTAGGACACGGGCGTTTGTAAGATACCGTTGGAGCTTGAGCACTGACACTCGGGGATGTCACCTGCGTTCCCAAGGTAACTGTGCTATAAACAGTGGTGACAGGCCCAGCCCACCCCTGTGAAACTCAGGGCCAGGCGACTGCCCTCCTGCCTTGCCAGGCATTCTCTGCCTGGGTGACCCCACCCCCCTTCCCTCCCTCAGAGAACCAGGGGGGCGAATTCACCACCCAGGGAAGGAGTGTTTGACGTCAGGCTCCTGAGGAAGGAGGGATCCCAGATGACGCTGCAGGAGGAAAGGGTGCCCTTCTCCCCAGAACGCACACCATCCTGGCGGGTTGGCCTCGCCGCTGCTGTGCAGACTCCAGAGCCAGACAGAGCCCGGGGGGTGTGAAGCGCCAGCACGGGGCTGTGGTGGAGCAGGCTGGCTTCCTCACCACTCATCTGGTGCAGGAGCCGGGCTCCCAACCCCCAGCCACCTTCCTGGGCCCTGCGGTCAGGGCCGAGCTGGTCGGAGATGCCAGCTCTCCCCTGGGCTCCAGGCCCCAACCCAAGGATCAGAGCTACGAGCCCAGGGGGCCCACACTGCGAGGGCCCAGCTCCCCCGGCCTCTGGGCAGATGTTCCGAGATGGGTGTCCCAGGAGTGAGAGGCTGACCCTGTACTGGAAGATTATACCATTCCCGCTCTCCTTTCCTCCTTCCTGCCTGGACCCAGGGTTACTGAAGGCACGCAGGGAACCTCTGTGGAAACCAGGAACCAGGCCCCCACCCCCGCAGCCGGCAGCCCAGCTTGGTGCAGAATCCCAGTACCTCCTGCCCCCTTGGCCTGGCAGTTTCTGTGGTGCCCAGCCCACACAGCTGTCCCCAGCAGCCCTGCCCAGACCCCGGATTGGTACCCCGGAGCCCAGCAGTGCAAGTCCTAGTCACAGCGGGAGATAGACTCTTGTAGGACGAACACCAGACAGACAGAGTGACGACAGAACCTCCACCCACTTGGCCGTTCGCCTTGGCCTGAACCGTCTGCTCTGGCATGTGGCACAGCCGGCAGGGGACGTCCCCACACGGCCAGGGCCCCCGAGTTACCCTCTGTGACGTGAGGGGGAAAGCTGAGGTCCTGGGCCCGTTCCACTGCCCGTGCCCCACCTACCAGGCTCAGGGTGCCCCCCTGGCCCACAGGACCCCTAGTCCCAGCCAGGGCCCAGGGGAGGTGGGGGACATGCCCCGTGTCCCCCACACCACAGGTGGAGTCCCTGGAGCCTCCTGAGGATGGCCCCTCTCAGCAGGTCTTGGATGAGAGGAAGACCTGTGTTCCTTCAGCCCTTTGACTTCACAGGCATGGACATAGGCTCCTTTGGCAGATGAACCAAGAAACATCTCTCTTTAACAGAGATCTCTTAAAAACATCTCTTTTTAAAAGTTTGTAAAGTTGAGATATGAGGTTACATAAAATCAGTGGTTCTGCCTTTCAGTTCAGTTGAGTTGCTCAGTCATGTCCTCTTTGCAACCCCATGCACCGCAGCATGCCAGGCCTCCCTGTCCATCACCAACTCCCAGAGCTTACTCAAACTCATGCCCATTGAGTCGGTGATGCCATCCAACCATCTCATCCTCTGTTGTCCCCTTCTTCTCCTGCCTTCAATCTTTGCCAGCATCAGGGTCTTTTCCAATGAGTCAACTCTTCGCATCGGGTGACCAAAGTATTGAAGCTTCAGCTTCAGCATCAGTCCTTCCAATGAACATTCAGGACTGATTTCCTTTAGGATGGACTGGTTGGATCTCCTTGCAGTCCAACAGACTCTCAAGAGTCTTCTCCAACACCACAGTTCAAAAGCATCAATTCTTCGGTGCTCAGCTTTCTTCACAGTCCAACTCTCACATCCATACATGACCACTGGAAAAACCATAGCCTTGACTAGATGGACTTTGTTGGCAAAGTAATGTCTCTGCTTTTTAATATGCTGTCTAGGTTGGTTATGGCTTTTCTCCCAAGGAGTAAGCATCTTTTAATCTTATTGTGTCAGTCACCATCTGCAGTGATTTTGGAGCCCCCAAAAATAAAGTCTGCCACTGTTTCCATTGTTTCCCCATCTATTTACCATGAAGTGATGGGACCAGATGCCATGATCTTAGTTTTCTGAATATTGAGTTTTAAGCTATTTCACTCTCCTCTTTCACTTTCATCAAGAGCCTCTTTAGTTCTTCGTTTTCTGCCGTAAGTGTGGTGTCATCTGCATATCTGAGGTTATTGATATTTCTCCCGGCAATCTTGATTCCAGCTTATGCTTCATCCAGCCCAGTGTTTCTCATGATGTACTCTGCATATAAGTTAAATAAGCAGGGTGACAATATACAGCCTTGACTTACTCCTTTCCCTATTTGGAACCAGTCCATTGTTCCATGTCCAGTTCTAACTGTTGCTTCTTGACCTGCCTACAGGTTTCTCAGGAGGCAGGTAAGGTGATTTGGTATTTCCAACTCGTAAGAATTTTCCAGTTTGTTGTGATCCACAAAGTCAAAGGCTTTAGTATAGTTAATGAAGCGGATGTTTTTCGGGAATTTCCTTGCCTTCTCTATGATCCAGCGAATGTTGGCAATTTGATCTCTGGTTCCTCTGCCTTTTCTAAACCCAGCTTTTATATTTGGAAATTCTTGGTTCACGTACTGCTGAAGCTTAGCTTTAAGGATTTTAACTCTCATTGTGTTCCTATTATTTTAGCTGCTCCTGGACTAAGAAATACCGCTGGAGTAGACTCCTCTTGGAAAAAAACCGGGAAGAACCGAAAACTGAAGTCCAAACGTGTCAAGCCTCGAGAGTCCTCGGGCAGCACCGGGTCTGGGGGTCCAGCGCCCCAGCGCCTCCCACTGGTGGGCCTGAACACCACAGCCTGGTCCCTGTCGGACACATCACAATCCAGCTGCCCAGCGATGCCCTTCCCTGGCCCAGTGCCAGCCTACTCCCTGCCCTTGTTTCCAGCCCCAGGAATAGTGACCGCACCAGGGACCGTGACCACAGGGTCCGGGGCTGCCCACACCGACCTCGCAGTGCCCGTGGATGCCCAGCAGGCGCTCGGGGTCCATCCCCCGCCGTTCGCCAGCCCCTTGGCCCCGGTCATGGCATTGGTCTTGCCCGGCTACTCCTTCTCCCCGGTGACCCCAGCCTTGCCCCCAGCCTTCTTCCCCAGCCAGCCAAACTTTGCATCTGAGATGCCTCCTGCCTCACAGCCCGAGTTCTTCCCTGATCGGACTTCAGCCCCCAAACAGCCGTGCCCATGTGCCCCAGCGGAGCGAGGGCCACCCATGTCGCGCGTGGCCACCCCAGGTACCCCGCCCCCCTCTGCTGGGCCCCCAGACAGGACCTCCCTGCCACTCTTCCAGTCCCGCGGAAGCTCACCGCTGCAGCTCAACCTCATGCAGCTGGAGGAGGCCCCTGAGGGCACCGCAGCGGCCACAGGGACCGTGGGTGCAGGTGCCGACTGCAAGCCTGGCTCATCCTGGGACTGGCAGCCCAAGTCACCCCCAACCGTAAGCACCTCCTGATGCCCTTTGTCTGAAGCAGGTGGCGAACTCTGGTACCAGGGCGGGCCATGCACACCCTCATGCCCGACGTGGGTGGCCCCCACCCCGCAGTTCTGCCAAACCACTTAGTCTGGATGCAGATCCGTGTGCAGACATGAGCATGTTCCCAAGGCCCCGTCACAGTAGGCCTGTGACCCTAACCGTCCTGGGACCTGAAGAGAGAGAGATGGCCGGCAGATGCAGTGTCCAGACGGCCACGGGGACTTCATCACGCGTCGTCAGGGGCCTCCGGGTGTTAGGTGGACACTTGGAGGATGGAGCCGTCAGGTTAAACACCAGAGCAGAGGCTCCTCGGAGTGGGGCTGGAAGCAGAGGGGCCCTGGTGAGGCCCGGAGCTGGGGGGAGCTGGAAACCGCTGCTCTCAACCCCGCCCTCCCAGGGTGAGGACACGGGCACATTCGCTTACTTGGTTCATGAAACAGCAGTGTGATTTCCAGCTAACGCGTCTGTGTTCTGAGAGCCAAGGCAGTGCTGTCCATGAGCCGTCCCCTCACACCTGGCCTGTGTCCAAGGCAGGGCAGTCTGTGAGCCCGCCAAAGCAGGGCTGCGTGGACCCACCCCCCGACCTGTGTCCAAGGCAGGGCCACCTGGGTTCCCGCTCCCCGCCTGTGTCCAAGGCAGGGCCACCCGGGTTCCCGCTCCCCGCCTGTGTCCAAGGCAGGGCCACCCGGGTTCCCACTCCCCGCCTGTGTCCAAGGCAGGGCCACCCGGGTTCCCGCTCCCCGCCTGTGTCCAAGGCAGGGCCACCCGGGTTCCCGCTCCCCGCCTATGTGCAAGGCAGGGCCACCCGGGTTCCCGCTCCCCGCCTGTGTCCAAGGCAGGGCCACCCGGGTTCCCGCTCCCCGCCTGTGTCCACGGCAGGGCCACCGGGGTTCCCGCTCCCCGCCTGTGTCCACGGCAGGGCCACCCGGGTTCCCGCTCCCCGCCTGTGTCCAAGGCAGGGCCACCCGGGTTCCCGCTCCCCGCCTGTGTCCACGGCAGGGCCACCCGGGTTCCCGCTCCCCGCCTGTGTCCAAGGCAGGGCCACCCGGGTTCCCGCTCCCCGCCTGTGTCCAAGGCAGGGCCACCCGGGTTCCCGCTCCCCGCCTGTGTCCAAGGCAGGGCCACCCGGGTTCCCGCTCCCCGCCTGTGTCCACGGCAGGGCCACCCGGGTTCCCGCTCCCCGCCTGTGTCCACGGCAGGGCCACCGGGGTTCCCGCTTCCCGCCTGTGTCCACGGCAGGGCCACGTGACCCCCGACCTGTGCTCCGGGAGAGGAGGTGGGGACAGGGACCCCCAGCACCTCTGATTCCCGCCTCGCCTACAGACTGGGCACTCCCAGGCCAGGCCCCTGGTGCCCAAGGCTGCCCCTGCTGTAGGGTGCAGAGTCCTGCTGCTCTGAGGGCACCTCTGGGTGCTGTTGAGGCATGGTCCTGCTTCCGTGTGCACTCGGTGGAGAAATAAGCATAAAGCTTGGATCCCTGCCTGGGCTCTAGGAGTCACCTTCTCTCGAGGGACTCTCCCCAAATGGAATCTAGTCAAACGTCCTCCTTTCTGCCTCCGAGAAGCGGGCTGGGTCCCAGGAACCCCAGGGTCTGTGCACATGGCCCACAGAGAAAGGGCCAGCGCCCAAGGAGCCTCCGTCCCCTCACTCAGCCCCGCTCTGTGTGGAGACCTGACTGGGTGTCCCCCCCTGTCCCCCCAAGCGCGAGGAGCCAGCGGATGCCCAGAACAGTGACTCGCTCTCCTCGTCCAGCGGCTTGCTGCACCTCCTGCTGCAGGGGGACCTCTGCTCGGCCACGGGCTCTGCGCTGTCTGGGAGCCAGGCCTCCGCCACCTCCTGCTCCCTGGCCTCCGGCTCCCTGGGCTGCGATGCGTCCAGAAGTGGGCCAGGTACATGGGGGACACCGGGAGCCCTGAGTTGGGTGGGGGGCGCAGTTGACCTGTGTTTGGAAGACCCCCATGTGACGCACCTGGGTATCCTTGGCTCTCTGTGTCCGGAGGGTGCCAGTCGCCCCCAGAGCCTCAGGCTGCTGCTTGCAGGGCCCAGCATCGGGGTCCTGATCGTGTGGCTTCTGGCTGCACCCCGAGCGGCTCCTCGGAGCCTCACACGGGCCACAGGGCTCCTCCTCCTGCCCCATGGCCAGGCCCGGTTCCCGCTGTAACCTGTCACTCCCCGTGTCAGTGGGCAGGCCAGACTCTGCACCCCCATCCCTGGCTGGCCTGTCCCTGGGGCTCCCCGCATCTGCTGGGAGGGCAGGTGGTGGAGCGCCGTCCCGAGTGACTCCCCTGGTGGGCACTGGCGTGTGGCCTCGGGCGGTACCGGCTGGGACGGTGCAGTGTGGCTTGGAGCTGCCCTGCAGGAGCAGCACACACATCCCCAGGCTGCAAGCGCCCCACTTCCCTCACCTGGGTGGACCCCCCACCCTGGAAGGCCAGGGAGGGGAGAGCACGGCCTCTTAGATGGGGCCCCGCCTGGACTCCACAGCTGTGCCAGCAGAGTCAGCTCCATGGTTCCAGCCGATGCCTGGTCTTTAAGTGATTCTTAAATTATCATCCAGACAATTGGACCATTGGAGAAAGAGAAGGGACGATCCCCCGACACAGGCAGTAGCTGCCCTCCCCTTACGGGCCGACTTAGGTTCGAGGTCGTGACCTGCGGCACTCTGTTTCAAAGGCAGCAGCGACACGAGTCACACCAGCAGGTATTTCGGAAGCATCGACTCTTCAGAGAATAACCACAGAGCAGCAGTGAAGGCGGAGGTGGATGGGACTGAGCACCTCCTCAAGTATGTCCTCCAAGACCCCGTCTGGCTGCTGATGGCCAACACGGACGACAGCGTCAGGATGACCTACCAGATAACTGCACGGTAACCGCCCGCCCCTGCTGGGGCAGTGCGGGGCTGGGCTCGGGATCCCCCGACGGCGAGGCCAGAGGGCTTCCCAGTGCCTTGTCTCAGATGGAATGGAGGGTGCCGCTAGGAGGGCCCCCTGGGCAGACGGCCGGTGCGCGCGGCCATGCAGAGGCCCCGTGCCGGCCTGGGGAGCCTCTGGGCCGTCACTTGCCGGCACGCAGCGTTTGTGCCACTGCCGCCTCTTCTGCTCTGCTGCGATAGCCCTGTGTGGCCAGTGGGGTGTGTGTGTCTGTCTGTCTGTCTGTCTCGGAGATGCAGAAACCAAGAGCTGAGGCGGGAGACCGTCCCAGGCCACCCGCTGCTTCTTAGGGAGCCTGGTCTGTGCCTCAGCTCTGACCACTCCAAGGAACCCGGAGCCTGTCAGGTGCAGTGCCCCCTCGGCGGGGGTGATTAACCCCAAGGCTCAGAACAGCCAGGGCTCTGGGCCAGGCCAGCCTGGGGCTTCATCTCCAGGGCCACTTTGAGGCAGGCCAGGGCAGCAGGTGGCAGGGGGGCTTGTCTACTCTCCACCTTGCTGGTGAGATGCTCCCAGGTGCAGAAGCAAGTGTCTGCAGGTACCCAGCTCCCATGGCTGATCTAAGCTAAAATTAAAACCAGAACTTGGTGTATCACTTTCATAGAAAAACTATAGCTATTTACTAGAGAGATTGTTACCTGAAATAGGGTAATTTATTTTAAGTGGAAAGGAAAGTTAAACAAAATCATCTAAAATTCCCTGGGGTCCAGTGGTGAAGACTAAGACTCCTTCCACTGCAGGGGCCACAGGATCTGTCCCTGGTCAGGGAAGATCCTCTATGCTGAGGAGTGTGGCAAAAAAAAAAAAAAATTACATTAAAATAAAATTATGTAAATAATACTGGAAGTGTTTGTAGAAAATGAGCATACACTTTAAAAAAAGATAACCCTTGAGGCATTCTAAAGCTCCCTGTTTCTCGATATTTCATGAAGAAACTTAGAGACGGTCCTACAGGAGGACAGGGAGAAGCTGAAGGCACTGCAGAGGTTCCAGCCCAGGTTCACAGATGGGCAGAAGCAGGAACTGCAGGACATCCACCCGTGGATGCGGTCAGGTGGCCTGCCCACGGCCATTGACGTGGAGGTAAGCTCTGGGACACGGCGCTTCCTGACATGGTGTTAAAAGGCACTGTGATGAGAATGCCTGGCACTATCTCTGCATCTGTTCTGTACATTTAAAACTTCGAAGATTAAATAAGAGCATTACAAGAAAAAAGAAACCACAACACTGTTAGATGTCTTTCAAGGAACTTCCTTCCAGTGGCTTTTCAACACTGTTTCCAAAAAGGTCTCTGAAATGTCTAATCTCAGTCACATGCTGAAATTTGAAAATTTTTCAGTTGTCACAATTAAAACACAGACCTACTTCTTCTGTCCTAAACCCTCAACATCCGTGTAGACCATAAGAAGCAGGGGACAGCAAGCCGTCCTTGCACTCTAAGCGGCTGCCCCCCGCGCTCTCTGTTCCTTCTTGAGGGTTTTTCTGTACCCCAGCTCCCCTCCCCGGTTCACTTCCCCAGTATGGACACAGCCAGGCTCCGGGCTGTCCTGGCCTTCTCTGTGCGCACCACCCCGGCACGGTCAGCTCCCGCCTCCTGTGGGAAGTGGCATCTACACGCGAGCCCCTCCAGCGACCACCTCTGGGGAACTTCCCAGGTTTCCCCAGAGACGACCTGCCCAGCCACTTTCTTCCCGCCCACTCCAGGGGAAGTCTGCGCCACCCCACTTGCTCAGACCACGGGCCCGGACTCCCCTCCTCTCTTACCCCCATCCAGTCACCGGCAGGTCACGCTGGCCTGACCTTCCAAGGGGATGGAAAGCAGCCGCTTCCCATCACCACCCTACATAGCCATTAAGCTGTGTCGCCCCCTCCCCGCAGCACCCGTCCCCCACGTTCCCTCCTCTCTGGCGGTTCTCTGAAGACCAGCACGTGTCTCCTGCCCCGGGGCCTTTGTGCCTGCCCTGCCCTCTCCTGGGCGTCCCCCTCCTCACAGACACACGGCTCACTCTGGCTCCTGGGTTTCTCCGCGCACAGCTGTGCTATAGACCTGCCATCGCTGTGTGTGTACGTCGCTCAGTCATGTCCGACTCTTCTGTGACCCCAGGGACTGTAGCCCACCAGGGCGCTGTCTGTGGAATTCTCCAGGCAAGAGTACTGGAGTGGGAGCCATGCCCTTCTCCAGGGGATCTTCCCTACCCCAGAACTGAAGCCGGGTCTCCTGCATTGCAGGCACTTTCTTTACCAGCTGAGGGACCAGGAAAGCCCCAGTTGATCTACTGCTGCACGGCAAATAACCCCCAAGCTTAGTAGCTTAGAATAAGAACCGTTTATTCTCTCCACTGTTTCTCTGGGTTGGAATTTAAGAGCAGCTCAGCTGGGTAGTTCTGACTCGGGGCCTCTCCTGTGGGTGAAGGCAAGGTAACAGCTAGGCTCCCGCCTCCAGAGGCAGGACCAGAGCTGGGGATCTGCTTCCGAGGGGGGTCCCTCCCGCAGTGCTCATGGGGGCTGGCCGTTGGCAGGAGGGCTCTGCTCCTTGCCATGTGGATCTGACCACGGCGCTGCTTATGTGTCCTCAGGACAAGATCCCGGCCTCCCCCGAGGGCACGGGGCCTGGATGCTGGGGGCCTGTGACAACCTCCGTCACCTGCGCTTTGTTAGAGGCACGTCACTGAGTCCAGGCCTCCACCTTTGGAGGAAGGAATGTCAAAAACTTCGTGGGCATATTTTAAAGCCACTACAGTCGCTCTTGGTGGCCTTTTCTGAACGTCCACTGTAAAATGACAGAGTCCTCGTGTGCCTCGTTCCACGTCAGCCCAGCACCTCCCGTCTTATAACACCTCGGAGCACCTCTCCTCTGGCTACTAGGAGATCTCCTCCAACGGGACATGGGTTTTCCTCTCTGTTCACTGCCGAATCCCGGTTCTTAGAACGAGTCTGGAACACGACAGATGCTTAACAGATAGGTGTTCAACAGGGGGAGGAACAAATAAGCTGGTAGCTTCTTAGTGTCCCATTTTACAGATTAGAAAACAGGTCAGAGAAGGTAGGTATCACTCCAGGTCATGCAGGCAGAAGGAGGAGGGGCTGGGACCAGGGCCTCTGATTGATGCCCCCCACCTCATTGTGCAAAGCCCCCTCTCAGATGAGGTTCCCAGGGGACTGGGAGGGGCCCCTCGGGAAGAAGCAAGCAGGGGTCCCGCAGCCTAGTGGCACCTCTGCGCCTGCCAGCAGCCTCAGGCCGACACCTGGTCACCTGCGCTTCGTTCAGACTGAACTGTTTGTACCAAAGATCTCATTTTCGTTACTGATTTACATTTTTCTTTTAAGGGATGTGTTTACTGTGAAAACGAGGGAGAAGACAGCCTTTGTGTGGCGTATGAGGAAGACACCCCTACACTGGGGCTCAGCGAAATGACAGACACCAAAGGAGAGGAGAGTGGGCTCCCCTGAGCCCCAGAAGCGAAAGGCAGACGCAGCCCCCTCCTCAAGGCGACAGCGCCGCCAGTGACGTCCGCTAGGCGGTGCTCTGAGGAGGGGAAGGGCCTCGCATGTGTCTCCAGTGAGACGGGTGGATATACTTTCGTGGCTTTTTTTGTTTTAAAAAAAACCCATAGTTTTCTGAAGGGGTGATTTAAACCATGGAAGGTAGGAGATGTTTGGGAAGAAATGCTATTTTATATTTATGAATAAAATACAGATATAGGGTGTTAGGGGGCAGGGGAACGAGACCTTCACTATTTAACTCGAGAAAGACTGCTGCCTCTTTGTGTCAGGAAGCTGCTGAGCGCCCCCAGGAGTCCCCAGACAGGCCGGCCCGGGCCTACTGGCTCCATGGGTTATCCCGAGGCATGGCCCAGGCTGCGACCACCAGCCCGAGGGGCGCGGGGGCTCCACGCCGAGGAGCGGCGGTCCAGGGCTTGCCCAGCATTTGTGTTTGTGTTTGGATCAGATCAAATTCTGTCCTCTCCAGGGGCGGCTTTCTCTCTAAATTATTTAGTCAGACTAGATGTTTTTGAAACCTACCAAGTGGAAATCACAGCCTGTGCTTATTTCATTTCAAAAACCTCCTTTTCAAAATGTTTCACATTAAATGATGTGTAGTTTGGCAAACCTGCCGCTTCAGCTTCCAGTGCAATTGCAGCAAATGCTTCATCTGACAAGTGTGTATGTCCAGGGCGAATAAAGTTGAACTGCTCGCTCCAGATGAAAGAAGCCAACAGGTTCCTGTGACCACGTCCATCACGGAAATTACACGTCCTCAGAAACACAACACAGACCCCTCTGGGTGTGGATGCATCATCCGTGCATCCTTTTCAGACCAGGATGGCCAGCGTGTCAGTGAAAACGTGCTGCTGGTCGTTCCCTTCTTGGGACTTAGCCCTCCTAGCCCGGCCGTGACCACCACGTTTGGGACTCAGCACGTCCTTTGTTGGCGCGTCCTTTGTTGGCGCTTCCCAGGCGTCAGCTCTGGGCCAGCGGAGCCAGCGCCTCCTCCTGGCTGAGCTGGGCCCCGAGCCTGTGTTCCAGGGTGGCCCTGCACCCTTTTTGTGAGCCCCGACTCACTGATGCCGCTTCCGGTCTCTGGCATGATGTCCACTAGTGTCGCTGGCACTTTCCGGTGAACAGGACGCCTGGGGAAGAGTGAGACCAGACTGCTCACCTTTTTGCAAAACCTCATATCGCATCGTATATCCCAAAGAAAGCTTAGAAAAAAATGTTAAACTGGTCCCTGGAGTGAATGAGAAGCTGCCAGTGATGAAACAGTTGACTTACAGTTGCACTGAGTCTGTAGCAACTTCAGAGAAAGCAGCTTCCCCTGCCCCCCCATCCTTTGATGGAGAATCAGCTACTAGAATAAGTGAAGCTTCCTTGTAATCCAGTTGGTTTTCATAGTAAAATCATTTTATGCCTGAATATCAATCTTACTTTTCATAAACGCAAAAAGTTTAATTATTTTTTTAAATGTAAAAGCAACATCATCTTCAGATCCCCAAGGCAAGGTGTAGTCTGTGAGTTTGTGTAGAGATCAGATGCTACAAACGGCTTCTTGCCTCTCAGTTAGATCATCAAGGGACAGTCAAGGTTGCATTGGCTTTAGCTGAACTGCCAAAAGGTTCTCTCCTGTTATGAATGTTTACCATCAGCGTTATCTTACTATTTATGTCTGTCCGCTGGTTGTTAAGTGCCGCGTAGCTTCGCTGTGTGCTGAGAAGTGGGCAGTAGGAGCATCTTGTGAAATTGTTTATGTGGTGCCAACACGCATCCGGTCTTGTTTCCTTTAGTGTGTGTGCTTACATGGGTGTTATCAAGACTTCTTCTCAATTTTAAACTGAGCCTTCTTTTTAATATATTCCTGAAAAGATATGTCAATAAGCTCTCAGAGTCTGTTAACAACACATCAAGCCTTGCCGGACAAGTGGTTTGTTTATGCGCAAGCCAGACTTTCTTCACCCAGTGCAATATGTTTGTTGGACTGCTTGTGTCTTTTTATGACTTTTTTGCCTTTTAGAAAATTGGTAAATAAAGCAAGTATATTTTTATTTTGTATATTTTTAATATAGCACAGAGAAATAGGAGCCTGAGTTCTGTTCGTTTATTTATTTTCTGCATGGTGTGTGAGATCTTACTTAGTTCCTGGCCCAGGGATCAAACCTGTGCCTCCTGCAATGGAAGCACAGATTCTCAACCACTGGATCACCAGGGAAGTCCCTATTTTTATTTCTGTATTTTTAATATAGCACAGAGGAATAGGAACCTGAATGGAGACAAAGATTATCAAGTGATTTTTCTAAGACAAACCCTAGAAATTCTGCTTTAGGAACTATTCTCTCTCCAAGGCACCCCTCACCTCTTCCCACGCACAATGTGCCTCTTGCTGACCCCTTCCTGTTGTGTGCGTGTGTGTGTGTGTGACATGCAGCCCCCACCACAGTGAACTCCCTGTTAGTGTAGTGTTAGTCACTCAGTTGTGTCCGACTCTTTGCAACCCCATGGACTGTAGCCCGCCAGGCTTCTCTGTCCATGGGATTCTCCAGGCAAGAATCCTGGAGTGGGTTGCCATGCCCTCCTCCAGGGGATCTTCCCGACCCAGGACTCAAACCTGGGTCTCCTGTGTTGCAGGTGGATTCTTTACCGCCTGAGCTATAGGGGACTCCCTGCTGTAGATCTAATCCGGGAGTCCAGCCCCTCCGTGGTTTCTCACTCAGATGGGGAGTAGGGCCACTAGCCCCTGGTGTTCGCATCCGCTCTGCAGCGAGCCCGGGCACCTGCTCCTCTCTCACCCCGCCCGCTCTGGGTCGTCTCTCCCACTGGGGCTGGCTGCCTGTGCGCTGGCCCAGGGCTGAAGGCAGCGAGATCAGAAGGATCTGAGGCCAGAAAGGCCTCGTGTCTCCACCACAGGCAGCATGGCAGTCTCCTCCTACCCCACCCCACCCCATGCTTCCTCCCACTGCAGCGAGACCGTGCAGAGCCTGATCAAAGCAGCAGGGGCTGCTTCTCCCTTCCAAACACTTCTTCATACCAGACTGTCGTGGGTCCCAGACCTGGTGCCCGGCCTTCCCGGAGTTCCCTCAGCAGGAGGAGGAAGGCTTGACGCTCACCTCCCATCCTGGCTGCCTGGATCCAGGTGGTGATTGGGGGTGGGGAGGCCAAGTCCTCCCAGTGGACCTAGAGGCCTCTGCAGACCTCCTCAGTGGCCAGATGTGGAGATCTGCCTGCTTCACTGAAATTCTGAGAGACTTCAGGGTGTTTAGCTGCGTTTTTATCTACCGTTTAACCCCAAGGGCACCCCTCCCCTTTATTTCCAAACCAAAAGGAGCTTCTCCAAGCCGCTGGGCTGATTGCCCGCCAGGGGCCTGGACGTCCATAGGCTGGCCACCGCCTTTGTTCCCTGGGGATTTTATGGCTTGCCACCCCTGCCGCTAACTGGTCCCCCTGTGGCCACTGCTGCCCTGCCCAGCCTCTGTTGGGCTCTGTCTTTGGATATGGGGATCAAAGAGCCCAAATGCTCAGGAAGCCTGTGCTCAGGCAACCTTTGAAGGTGGGATCAGTCCAAGCAACAAATGGCAGGAAGTGGATCTGCTAGCAGAGGCCACATAGGGAAAGAGAAAGGGCGAGGTGGTCCTGAGATGGAGCAGCCGGGTTTCTGGGAGGAAGAAGCCAGGCCTGCCAGCCAGTGGGCCCATTAAAGGAAACTGAGGCTGGCTTCAAAGATGAGGCCTTGGGCAACTTCCAGTCTAACCAAGGAGGAGTTTGCTGACTCACACCCCCTACTCTATGGTTTAGTCCCTCAGTCGTGGCCAGCTCTTTGCGACCCCATGGACTATAGCCCGTCACACTCCTCTGTTCAGGGGGATTCTCCAGGCAAGAATCCTGGAGTGGGTTGCCATTTCCTTCTCCAACCCTACTCTATCCTTGTGCTTTTTGTCCCAAGGCTATTTAGACTGAGGCATGTCCCAGCACTGAATTCTCCTTCCTTCACTTCTAGACAGCATTCCTCAAAGCCCCCCAACCCCATGTAAGATCAGGCTTTGGAGATCCTTAGCCCTTGCTCAGCCATCTTCTCCTGACAACTGTCACCTGTCCTTTTGTTTTTACAAAGTTAGCGCTATATATACCCTACAACCACCATTAAGCCTTTCCTACAGATTGACTCTAGAGTCAGACACGACTTAGTAAATTTCACTCACTCATATATTGACTCTAAATCTTGAAATGCTATGAGCCGTATTATCTTCTGACTGTGAAAGAATTGGCTACTGGGCCAACTAAGTACTAAGGTTACATTTCTCTCCTTGGGCAGCTTTTTATTTTTCCCGGAGTTCCAAGTTGCCTCTGATTTCTCGTTTGCACCGTTGGCCTTTATCACTCTTCCTGCACTTCCAGTTCCCTGTCGAATCAGGCAAAGACTAGTAGTCTTTTTCCACAGGCCTTCCCTAGAGCCCCGATCATCCTGTTCCAATATAAAGTGCCTATCCTGGAGAGCACTCTAAAATACTTGTTTGATCTTATTCAAACAATACAATCAATAATGGGAGAGGTAAGAGTCAAGAATAAGAGATATCACCGAGTTGGTTTTTCCATATCTGAGTTCCTCAAAGTAGGGCAAACTTTAACTGCGATTCCTTGGCGTGGGGGTGGGATCTTGCTCCCTGGGGTGGTGTCTAAATGACATGGTGAAGAAAAGTGAAGTTCCAGGCCAGCTATGGGCTCTTTCAAAGGGTTCCACTACTAAAGCCCCTCCCACACTCTGTCTGGCCCTCCACTAGGAAGGGGAAGGGCAGTCAAGCTTCTGATCAGGCAGGGGAGGATGGGAGAACAAGAGCTAAGCTTTCTCCCCCATGGCTTATGAGGGAGACCGGGAAACACATAGGGTGTCTGAAGGAGAGGAGTAGGTTTCTACCTGGGTGAGCAATGCAGGGCTGGAGATGGGTCAGCACCCTGCTCACAGAAAAGCAGACAGACAGCCAAGTGAGGATCAGCAGAAGGGGTTCCCAGGGAGTCCCCGAGTCCCAGAGTCCCTACCCACCGAGGGCTCACAGAGGTGCGCTGGTCTTGCTTGTGGTTAGTTACTCAGGCGTGTCCAGCTCCTTGTGATCCCACGGACTATAGCCCACCAGGCTCCTCTGTCCATGGAATTCTCCAGGCAAGAGTACTGAAGCGGTTTGCCATTCCCTTCCCCAGGGGATCTTCCCAACCCAGGGATCAAACCCGAGTCTACTGTGTCTCCTGCATTGGCAGGAGGGTTCTTTACCTGCCGAGCCACCTTTGAGAACCATCAGAACTCTCATCAAGCTTGTCCTACTGTGGAGATCCCTCTGGCAGGGAACCTGAAGTGAAGTAGACACCAGAAGGGCTTCCAGAGCCATCTTCGGATCATGGGGGGCCCTGGTGGGCGTCTGCAGCCCAGTCCTGCCACCCAGCCCCCCTGCCATCCCTGGATGTTTCTTTCCCCTGCTCCCTCCAGCTAGGCTGGGGACACTCATCTTCCCTCCCTGCCCAGGGCTTCTGCTTCACCAGTCTCTGTGCTGGGGGTTGTGACAGGGTGCTGGTCAGAGTACCCCGGGCCAAGGATGCTTATAACCTGGAGGGGCACAGAACCAGACCCTGACGGTCCCAGTCCCAGGAGGGAAGCAGCAGATCCTACAAGGTTGTAGGTCCTTCCACCGGGAAGATGGAAACGGAGCTGCGGCCTGAACAGCAGGGAAGGAGCCCTCTAAAGGGAGGTTTAAGGCGCTCCAGGTTTAAGGCTCTGTGTGGGCCAGGTGTAAGCCCTGGCTGCCTGAAAGCAAATTGGCATCCCGGCTTTGCCAGGAGAGGCCACGGACCTGGGCCTTCAGCGCTGGCGCCAGGCTGGGGGTCCCCAGGGTGTAGCCCCACCGCCCATGCACCCCACCCTCAAAGAGGCAGGGCTGGCAGATGGGCAGCCGGACCTGGGGGTGGCGGTCGTCTGGCGACACAGGCGCACCCACCCCCGCGCCCGCCCTGGTGACAAAGCAGCCCGAGACAAAGGCGCGGCCAACACCTGTCGCTCTTGGCTGGGCTGCCGCTTTTCTCTGCCGAAGCGGCTGCAGCTGCCAACTGTCACGGGCATCAAGTTACGGGGACCAGACGGCGGGCTCCGCCAGCCCGGCGAGGGGCGGGGGAGGGAGGGGAGGACTGGGGGGAAAGGGAGCCCAGGGGCTGGGGAGGGGGCCGGGGCGAATGGAAAAGGGTTGTGGGACCAGGGAAGGGTGGTTGGGCAGGGACGGCAGGATGGGGCAGGGCAAGCTTGGGTTGGGGACGGGGTGGGGGGGTGGGGGCGTCGATGGGCGGGTGAGAACCAGATGGGGGGTCAGGGGAGGGAAGGTCGGGGGTCGGTGGGTATATTGAGGGAGGAGAGGGTGGGGGAAAGGAAGGTGAAAGGGGGTCAGGGAGCGAAGGGGCCGAGGAGATGGGAGGGTGATGAGGACCAGGAAAGGACCGATGACCAGAGAAGGAGGTCCGAGACATGGAGCTGTTGAGGACGGGCCTGCGGACCCCGCCCCACTAAGATCCCCGAGCAGGCTGCAGGCACGACTCACAAGTCCGCTAGAAACGCGAGGGAGCAGGAGCTCGCTCCCACCCCTGCTGCCCTTAGGGCCCTCACCTCCCTGGGACTCTGCAGCCTCCCCAGACCGGACCTGTGGCTCCCTCCAGCTTCGGAGACCGCGGTCTTTGCTGTGGCTCTAGCTCCGAGGACCCCAGCAGGCGCGCTGAAGGGTCCCCCTCCTGTGGCATCTTAGGTGAAGGAAGTCTAGCGCGAATGGATGGATGAACGGATGGGTGCGCTCCTGCTCGCGCGCGCAGCAGACCTGGGCGACCGGTTCAGGGTGGGAAGGGGAACAAGCGCACCTGGGGCCACAGCCCTCGTGGTCATCGCCCCCTCGGGTGCCCACTCCCCCCCGCCAACGCGCGGGTCGCTCGGAGGCCCAGCTGGGCTTGCCCCCAGCCCTCCGCCCTCCAGCTCCCGGCCGCAGGCCACGCCCCGCCAGCTGCTAGCCGACCGCGGCGGCTGGGCCGGACAAAGCGGCCTCTGCCATTGGCCCGCACAAGCAATTGGCGTATTGAGATGCAAATAAGGTGCTATAAAAGGGGCGGGGATCGGCGGCGGGCGCGAGGACGCCGCGGAAGACGCGAGGGGGTGAGGGGCGCGCTCGCTTGTTGCGCTCGCCGGGCTCCCGGCTGTGCGCGTCATGGCTCCGCTGCTGGCGCCGGGCCGGGACCGGGCAGGTCGCGAGGATGAGGACGGCTGCGAGGCGCGCGGGGACCGCAAGGTGCTGGCTGTATCCACGGATGGGCGAGGGAGCGGGCGGGCTCCGGGGACCACGCAGGGCCGGGACTCAGTTGCTCGCTTTCCGCAGGCCCGGAAGCCCCTGGTGGAGAAGAAGCGGCGCGCGCGGATCAACGAGAGCCTGCAGGAGCTGCGGCTGCTGCTGGCGGGCGCCGAGGTGAGGCCAGCGGGGTCGGGGGTGGGGGGCGCCCAGGGGTTGCGGGCCCGCGGGCCGGCCTCGCCTCACCTCCCCTCCCTGGCGGCGCAGGTGCAGGCCAAGCTGGAAAACGCCGAGGTGCTGGAGCTCACGGTGCGGCGCGTGCAGGGCGCGCTGCGGGGCCAGGCGCGCGGTGAGTGGCGGCCGGGCGGGCGGGGGGGCGCGGGGCGCGTTCGCCCAGCCTGCCGCGCCGCGGCTCCACCGAGGACTTCCCCGGCCCGGGACAGGGGGCGCCCCCCGCGTCTCCTGGGTGACCCTCGTCCCCGCGGGCCGGGAGGGCCGGGCCACAGCGGTCGCCGCTCACTGGACCCGGTGCGGCTCTCTCCCCTCCCATCTCCGAGCGCAGAGCGCGAGCAGCTGCAAGCGGAAGCCAGCGAGCGCTTCGCCGCCGGCTACATCCAGTGCATGCACGAAGTGCACACGTTCGTGTCCACGTGCCAGGCCATCGACGCTACCGTCGCCGCCGAGCTCCTGAACCACCTGCTCGAGTCCATGCCGCTGCGCGAGGGCAGCAGCTTCCGCGATCTGCTGGGGGACGCCCTGTCTGCGCCGCCCGCAGCCCCGGGGCGGAGCAACTGGCTCGTAGGAGGCGCGCTCGAGTCCCCGCTGCCCAGCCCCCGGGGCTCCGGGGACGACCAGTCCTCAGACCTGGAGGAGGTCCCCGAGGCTGAACTGAGCCGTGCCCCGCCTGCCGAGGGGCCAGACTCGGTGCCCGCAGCCCTGGGCAGCCTGACTGCTACCCGCTTGGCCCAGAGTGTCTGGAGGCCTTGGTGACCAACGCCAACCTGGGGCCTGCGGGGTGGTCTCTGCCTTCCCAGGTTCCGTTCCCTCCTCCCGGGAGTTCAAACGTGGCGGGCAGGGGTCTGGATATTTCCCGGTCCTGCTGCGCAGACCCGCATAATCAGTCCAGCCAGGCCCCCTGTTTCTTGCTGGAGGAATGTTTATGCATTCCCCCTGCCCAGCCCGATGGTGGGTGGAGGGAGGAAGCCACTGGCGGGAGGAGGAATCCTGTAGGGCTCCCAGTGTTGTCCGCGCTTCCCCTGTCCCAGACTTAAGAGGCGCCCTGTGGGTCTGGGGGCACAGGTGACGGAACGGAGCTGAGCCTCTCCTGGGTGCTGAGCACTAGTGTCCTGGCAGAAGACCTCAAGCCCTGGCCCTCCAGCCAGGACAGGCAGGAGGCGTTCTGCAGGCCTGCCCAGAGCTGCCACAGAAAAGCACGGTTCTCTGTATGTCTTGCATTTAGCACGCTTGAGTTTGTGTATTAGGTTGCCATCGATGGATCCAATTGTGTTAAATAAAGGATTCTGGAGAGGTAGTTACCCTTCTGTAGTAACAGGTAGCAATACTAACAGGTAGTATTGCTGGATGCTGTGGTGTCAATTAAGGTGTCAGTCAAATGCATAAATACAAAGCCAAGCACATTTTCCCCATTTCTAATGCTGTGAGTGGTTTTAAAACGTCTCACTGTCAACAAACAAGTGTAGAGGCAGTGGTGATGAACGCCCCATGGTGCATCTCATGATGGACAGTGCTTCCACCTCGCTATGGCCAGGCCATTGCAGGTGGGTTTCCCCTGCAGGTCCGTGGACCTGGCCTGCTCTCCCCAGGAACTGTGTGTGTTCTGGTGATGGAAACTCTGGCATGGAGTTTGTCTCCAGAGTCACGAAGGAGAAGGGAAACTACTGGTTCCCAGACCGTTCTCTTGTTTGTGAACTTCCAAGAATAAAACTGATGCCTGACTGCTAGCCATGTGGTGTGGAAATTTCTTTCAGAAGCCTGTTGTAGGGTCCATGAGTGTGGTGCAGACGTCTGTCCACTTAGGTGATTACTTTTCTCAACTGAAGAGCGAGCTTCCCCATTGCCAGTGACCTCGGACACAGAGACCCACCCAGTTCATGGCCCAGGCAGTTTGGACTTCAGGCCAAATTGAGCCCAGGAAGTCAGGAACCCTGGAAGGAGGGATTCAGGCAGCTGGGATGTAGGGATCCCACCCTCTTGGGCTAGGTCAGGGCCTACAGGTCATGCAGTCAGCTGATTGCAGTCCCTGCCACAAGGAGCCCAGCCCCCACATCTGCTTCAGAACCCCAAGCTTGTTCTCTCAGGGTTGGCAGTGCCCAGGCCTAGTCAAGGGGTGACAGTTTAGCATTCACAGCTAGGTCTCCTCTCCAGTGTGTACCTTTGCTTTAAAAGTCTCTCCCTGGAGCTTCCCTGGTGGTCCAGTGGTTAAGACTCTGTGCTTGCAATGTTGGGGGCACGGGTTCAATCCTTTGTGTGGTCAAAAATAACAATAAAAATCAGTTCAGTCGCTCAGTCATGTCCAACTTTGCGACCCTATGGACTCCAGCACAACATTCCTCCCTGTCCATCACCAACTCCCGAAGTTTACCCAAACTCATGTCCATTGAGTCGGTGATGCCATCCAACCATCTCATCCTCTGTCATCCCCTTCTCCTGCCTTCAATCTTTCCCAGCATCAGGGTCTTTTCAAATGAGTCATTTCTTCGCATCACGTGACCAAAGGATTGGAGCTTCAGCATCAGTCCTTCCAATGAATATTCAGGACTGATTTCCTTTAGGATGGACAGATTGGATTTCCTTGCTGTCCACGGGACTCTCAAGAGTCCCAACACCACAATTCAAAAGCATCAATTCTTCAGCTCCTAACTTCCTTCACAGTCCAACTCTCACATCCATACATGACCCCTGGAAAAACCATAGCTTTGATTAGACGGACCTTTGTTGGCAAAGTAATGTCTTTGCTTTTTAATATGCTGTCTAGGTTGGTCGTAACTTTTCTTCCAAGGAGTAAGGGTCTTTTAATTTCATGACTGCGGTCACCATCTGCAGTGATTTTGAAGCCCCCCCCACCCCCAAAATAAAGTCTGTCACTGTTTCCACTGTTTCCCCATCTATTTGCCATGAAGTGATGGAACAAGATGCCATAATCTTAGTTTTTTGAATGTTGAGTTCAGAAATGTTCCCTGTCACCCCTGCCCAGTAAGTCCATCTGGTCCATTTGGTTACATCCAAGTGCCCTCGAGCTCAAGTCCATTTCCATCTTGTTGGTCTCCCTGCATCCTCCTGTCTACTCAGTGTTGACACTTAGACGTAAGATGGGCATCACAAACCACTGCCATATAACAACTGATTTTCGCCCCCTCCCTCCCCCCCAATCCCCACCCTCCCAAAGGCGTTCGGAGGCGTCCTGCTGTCTGACGCTGGAGCTCAGAGCTGTTCTAAGGCCCTGGAGGCGGTCGGAGGTATTCCGGAAGCACCCGGAGGCGCTCGGAGGCGCTCGGAGGTATTCGGGAAGCACCCGGAGGCGCTCGGACGCTTTCGGAGCTTTTGGAGGAGACAGGCTCTGGGCCACGCCACCGCCACCGCCACGCCCTCACGCTCACGCGGTGAGTTCTGGAAAATGTAGTTCCAGTCCTTTGATCTTCCTTTCCCCGAGGACCCTGCAGGCAGTGTCAGAACTACGACTCCCAGGGCTCTCTGCGGCCTAGAGGCCCCTCCTCCCCGCTGCCTCGAGCTCCGAGTCCGTCGCTGACAGGAGGCCAACGAACCTAACGGCGCCCAGGAGTTTCGCGCTGTCGGTTAAGCGGCTCTGCAGTGAGCAGAGGCTGGGCTGCGATCCCTTACGCATCCCCGGGACCAGGAAAGGGAGCGATGAAGGCGCCAGCGCCCCACCGCTCGGGCCCTCCGCCTGCGGCTCCAGCTCAGGGCCCCCGACCACTTCGGGCCACGAGGAGACCTGGCCGTCGGGAGTATTAAAAGAGCCCCGGCCTCTCGGAAAGTGCGGCCAAAGCCGAAAGCGACTGGTGTCGAGGAAGAAGGGGGTCGTTTCAGGCTGTGACATGGAAGCAGTTTTCTCGAGGAAGAAAGACGAGTCTTACCGACCGTTTGGTGACCGCGCCTCAGTTCTGCCCAGCGTTCATTCTACAAGTGCAGTTGAGCACCTGTTATGTGCAGCGATCAAAGAGATGAGACTGACCAGAGCCTTGCTGTCGAGGAACTGGGCAAACAAGAACCCACAGAGGCCCCAGGCCTCTAAAATACATCCCAGAGGTCGACAAAGGTTGTGCTTGGTTAAAAAGCAGCTAGAGGAGTGCAGAGCTCATCAGGTTATTAAAGACAGTTACTGGGCTTAAGTGGGTCTGAAAGGAGGAGGGATAAGATTTTAAAACTGATGACCCAGAGTCTTTTAGCTTCTCTTGGGAGCTCCCAGGCTTTTTTGCTCTTCCATCCCGGTATAAAAAGTTGCCCCGCACCCCCCAAGATGGTAACTCTGGCCATATCTGTTCTGCTGCTAGTTGTTGTCATTTTGCCCCTCCATTGTCGACAGATGACACTCCAGGCACCTTCTTCCTTTCCGCTCCAGATCCCGCCCCACCTTAACCTGGGGGAATTGTATATGTCTCTTAGACATCTCAGTCAATAGCCAGGCCATGGTCTCTGTCACCCCTGACAGCTCCATACCAGGAAACTTGTTCAGACTTCATCGGGGTCTCTCCTAGTTAACTGTCTGCCTGTCTCCTTCAGTCAGGTTTCTTGAGAATAGTCTCCATTCTTAACCTTTTTTTCATTTCCTCACCTGCTTGCCCCTTAAAAATTTCACCATTTTCCATTTCCCACCATTCTACTGGAAACTTCTGGCAGTCTCTGAAGTCCTAAATGTTAGAGCATCCGACACTGTCAAGAGTGTCATTCTTCTTAAGACACTGTTCTCTGTCTAGTTTTCTTGCTTCCTCTTCGCCCATTCCTTCTCAAGTTGTAGACAGGGCTGTTGTCTGCAGCCTACCCTGTACATCTCGCTGCAGCCCACATCTTCCTTGGACTTACTGGTCTATGGTCTTCCTGGCTTCTCCCAGTCCTCTCTGGAGCTCCAGTCACATGGGGTCACAGAATCAGACACGACTGAGCGACTAAGCACAGCACACAGCATTCTAGTGGCTAAAGTTTCTTCTCGAGTTTATACTGTAATAAGGGAGACAGACAAGAAATACCTGCTCTGGCAGATGGTGCATTCGTGCCAAGAAAAATTATAAATCAGGTCATGGGGACAGGGCGTTATGGTGTGGAAGCAGGGTGCAGATTTCTGTAAGTTGATTATAGAGGATTCCTTTCTCTGTAGGTTTGTTTTGAGCGGAGAATGGATGATGTTCGTGGATGGGGACAAAAGCCAGTGGCTGTCATGGGAAGGAGTGGGTTAGGGTTCAGATGGCCTTAACAATAGCACCGGCCTTGCTTTGCACATGAAGTGCGACCGTGGGAGCAAAGAAAGAAAGTGAAGTCGCTCAGTCGTGTCCGACTCTTTGTGACCCCATGGACTGTAACCTCCTGCGTCCATGGGATTTTCCAGGCAAGAGTACTGAAGTGGGTTGCCATTTCCTTCTCCAGGGCATCTTCCTGACCCAGGGATCCAACCCGAGTCTCCCGCAGTGCAGGCAGACGCTTTACCGTCTGAGCCATGGGGAAACCCAGGTGGGAGTAAAGCCCTTCTGAGACCCCTTTCTGTCCCCACTTGCCCCCTGCCCCTCCCACTGTTTCTGCCTCCTTCGTTCTTTCCTGCCTCTTCTGTCCTCTTCCCTTTCGTCCTCCCCATTCTTTGGACTCCCCCGCCTAGCCTCTGCTCCTGCCTCTTCTCCAGCCTTCCTTCTCCCAGCATGGGGTGGGCTTGGCTGGGGGTGGCCGTACGCCTCCAGGCCGCATGACGCCCCCTCCCTGCCCCTCTGCCGAAGGCTCTGAGCACCGGGCTTCCTGGGAAGGAGTCC